ACAGACTACATAGCCAACAGTCAAATGCTCGTTAAAGCAGCCGCCAAACCCTCCCCACACGGGCAATAATATTATATATCTTGTGTACTATGTCTTAATAATGTTGTTATAGATTCAGCTACTCGGAACAAGTTCCAAGTAGCACGGGCTATGGTGAGCCCGTAGTGGACTTACCCGGTACAGGACCGGTACTGTGTCGGGTCTTAATAAGCTAAAATGAGCTTAAAATGTTAGATAAATGGGGGAATACCTGACCATAAGTTAAGCAGCTCATCTGTGAAGACGCGAGCATCTCTTACCGTACTGGTTTGTGTTTTAGACAAGTTGGATCCTCTGTTGGTCATCTTGTCAAGACCTGTGACACCCTGACACTGCTAGCGGGTTCACTCTACTACCTTCCGTCCCTTTTAGCCTCGACCTTAACATCTTGGAACCGATTCATGTTGCTACAATGAGACCCAAGTTGAGCGTCTCGGAGTCCTTGGCCCAGATTCACGAAAGCACTTACGCAAGCACTTACGAACGTGTACATCTTTCCTCAATCTTTGACGGCTTTGGTTACATTTATTAAACAGTTTACAAGCATGAAAACTTGCCAATCAACTGTTGTTATTGTTATAAACAGCCTCCTGGTGCTTCCGAGCTCATTAACTGTTTAATAATTGTAAACAAAGCCGTCAAAGATTGAGAAAAGATGTATAAGTTCGTAAGTGTTTGCGTAACTGCTTTCGTGAATCTGGCTCCTTGACAATGGTGTTTACACATTCACTTCCCATTATTATTATTAACATCTTTATTGACAAAATTAATTACAATTTTGCCTAATCTGAGGATTTTGATAAAGTCTTATTAAAGTGAGGATAATGCTGGTATTCACTGTCACGCAGGACAGAGGGTCATACATAAGACAATAGGTCTAAACTGTAGGCGGAAGCACATATATATCATGGTTACAATCAATGTTTTAATGTATGGATATGTGAAAACAACTTTCTATTGTGCACTGCCACACAAGGGCAGGGATGGGTTCATAAGTGATGCAGCTTAGAAGTAATATAAATAAAAATTGTTCTTCATTCTTTAAAATGGACAAGCCTAATACAATATATATATACCAGGGGAAACTGAAATTGAACTATCAGGGAGAAAGAGCCAAGCCATCACGACTATATAGCACTTGGAAGGGATCAGGATAAGGACTTGGGAAGGGACGGGGGGAAAGGAATGGTGCCCAACCACTTGGACGGTCGGTGTTAACTAAGTAATTATAGAAAGAAGGCAGAAGCCGTCACAGATTAAGGCAGCGTCTGGGATGCTCTCGGACGCAGGTTCGAATCCTCGTCACGGCCCTTGTGGATTTGTTCATAAGACTGTACTCATCTAGTTGTGCTTGCGGGGGTTGAGCTTTGGCTCTTTGGTCCCGCCCCATCCCGTTTACTGTGTCCCACCGTCTGAGTCACGGGATATTCGGCAGGTGGTAGGCATTACCAAGGACTAAGCTGGGTGAAGTACCAGGTCTCAGGAAGACAGCCAAGGGGCTACAGTGAGAGCGGAGACTCCAGAGTGGAGGAAGGTTACGACTGAGGTGCCACAAGGCGCGGTGCCGGGGCCCGTCCTGGGGCCAGATTCACGAAGCAGTTACGCAAGTACTTACGAATGTGTACATCTTTCCTCAATCTTTGACGGCTTTGGTTACATTTATTAAACAGTTTACAAGCATGAAAACTTGCCAATCAACTGTTGTTATTGTTATAAACAGCCTCCTGGTGCTTCGGAGCTCATTAACTGTTTAATAATTGTAAACAAAGCCGCCAAAGATTGAGAAAAGATGTACAGGTTCGTAAGTGTACAGAATGTACAGAATCCCACACTGGCAGAATAACGACAGCAGCATATTCCATATTAGCCAACATCTACGGATCCTTCAGAAAGTTGATCAGACAACACACTAGAAGGTAATGGGACGACGACGTTTCGGTCCGTCCTGGACCATTCTCAAGTCGATTGATTGACAATCAACTTGAGAATGGTCCAGGACGGATCGAAACGTCGTTTGTCCCTTCACCTTCTAGTGTGTGATCTGATCAACATTCTTCAGCCACGTTATTGAGACTCATCGCCTGATCCTTCAGAAACTTGGGCAAAGGAGCCTTCCGGGTCATATATATATCCTATGTGAGGCTCACGCTTAACTTTACATCCCCAGCTGAGAGCCCTCACCAGAAAAAAGATGTCAAAACTATAAATGGTCCAAAGAGATGCTCTTGAGCTGACGGATTTGATTTACGAAGACAGACTGAGGGAACTGGGCCTTACCACATTGTAGGACGGAAGAGACTGGTGGGGGACATGATAACGACATATAATATTCTAAGGGGAATAGACAAAGAAGCATTTTTCAAAGCTAGGAACAGGAGAACAAGGGGCCGTAGATGGAAACAAAATAAGTCATTGGTAAGTCAGAATGAACCTTTTTCACGTTAGAGCCGTCAAAAAGTGAAATAGATTAGACGTAGAAGTCGCTGAAACTAACTCACTACAAATTTTTAAACGTAAATGTAATAAAAACGTGGGAACTGAGTGACTATTAATCTAGGAAGGATGGGAAGGTGCGTCTAGAAGCCTAGCTGGACCCTTCAAGCAAGTAAGAGCATCTAGGTAAGGAGACAGACACGCTATAGACGTTGGGTCGGCCTGATGGACATTGTCAAGGAACTAGTCCACTTCCTGTTGCAGCATTCACTTCCAGCATAACATTCCTGAGTGTTGCTGCACCCACAGTGACCCGCCCTCACACCTGCGCTAGTGCACGCTAGCTCTCTCTCTCTCTCTACCTCTCTTTCGCTTTCTCTTGCTCGCGCTCTCTCTTGCTCGCGCTCTCTCTTGTTCTCGCTCTCTCGCTTCCTCTGGCTCTCTCTCTCTCTCTCTCTCTCTCTCTTTGAAAAGTTACGCATATAAGAGTGTTTTACCGGCAAATTGTTGATACCAGTGAGGATGACGTGTGACCATGAAACCAAGAGACATGCTTTATACCAGGCTTTATACCAGGCTTTATACCAGGCTTTATACCAGGCTTTATACCAGGCTTTATACCAGGCTTTATACCAGGCTTTATACCAGACTTTATACCAGGCTTTATACCAGACTTTATACCAGGCTTTATACCAGACTTTATACCAGGCTTTATACCAGACTTTATACCAGACTTTATACCAGACTTTATACCAGGCTTTATACCAGACTTTATACCAGGCTTTATACCAGGCTTTATACCAGACTTTATACCAGACTTTATACCAGGCTTTATACCAGGCTTTATACTTTATACCAGACTTTATACCAGACTTTATACCAGGCTTTATACCCCACAATGATGAGTACAGAGCCCTGCAGCCATGATTTAAGAAGAAACAGCCGTGGGAGTATATTTTTCACTACTCTTAGACAAACTGAATGGCTTGGTGCTTTCTCCTGATAGTTAGCTTACCTTACTTTCTTACGGTTCATCTAAACCCCAAGTTTTCCTCAATGAGCTCTTGTTCTTGAGCTCTTGTTCTTCTGTTGTAGACTCCACAAACGTTGTCAATGTTCTTGTGGATCATATATATCGTGATCATGTCTCTTCTTTCCCAATCACTTTTCTCTTGAAGCATAATCCAGGTTTCTCAGAATTTCCCAATATTCCAGCTCTCTCAGTATTGTGACATATCTTTAAACATTCTCAGAGATTTTCTTGTGCTGTTTCAGGCTCCTTGTCAAGATCTCACTCCTCAGTATCGACCAGCTTTGCATATGCTGCTGATGAGGTTTCCTTTGCAATGTTCTCTTTGAATTATGCAGTCCTATAAACCTTTATCTTTCTGCTTTGGGCGCTGCCTTCACCTCCTTGTATCTTGACCTTGAGGTCTCCTCAATCTTTCACCCACTTCTGTTGTGTGGCAATTACTTTGGTTGACATCGAGAAGCCATCTTCCAGGCCACACTTTACGAGGGATTAGTTGTTTATTGAAATGATTCTTGCCTCAGGTTTCTCTTCAAATTTACAAAGGTGTTCTGGGAATATACTGGTCGACCCCCCCCCCCCCCCCCCCACCCCTCGACCCCCACAATGGTAGCCAGGGTAAAGACTGGGCTGGTATAGACATGACCAGGAAATACAGTTTCAAGACATAATACAGTGTCCAGACATGATACAGTGTCCAGACATGATACAGTGTCCAGACATGATACAGTGTCCAGACATGATACAGTGTCCAGACATGATACAGTGTCCAGACATGATACAGTGTCCAGACATGATACAGTGTCCAGACATGATACAGTGTCCAGACATGATACAGTGTCCAGACATGATACAGTGTCCAGACATAATACAGTATCCAGACATAATACAGTGTTCAGACATAATACAGTGTCCAGACATGATACAGTGTCCAGACATAATACAGTATCCAGACATAATACAGTGTCCAGACATAATACAGTGCCCAGAAATAATGACACCAGCAGTGAAAGACTGCACCAGCCTGCAGTACATACAACACCCACCCATACCATACAGACATGGAGGACAATAATCCAGAGTGAGAACTGGCCCTTGAGGCTACTGAGCATGCGCCAGGGGGTCAAGGAGCAGCATCTACTTAAAGCCAGCTCTGAGTGGTGTGGCTCACACTCTCTCTCCTACACTCCCTCCAGCAGGTAAGGCCACACACCTCTCTCTCCGTGCCTCTACACCCGCCTCCTCTACACCCGCCTCCTCTACACCAGCTTCCTATACACCCGCCTCCTCTACACCCGTGCCTCTACACCCGCCTCCTCTACACCAGCCTCTTCTACACCAGCCTCCTCTACACCTGCCTCCTCTACACCCGCCTCCTCTACACCAGCCTCCTCTACACCCGCCTCCTCTACACCAGCCTCCTCTACACCAGCCTCCTCTACACCAGCCTCCTCTACACCAGCCTCCTCTACACCCGCCTCCTCTACACCAGCCTCCTCTACACCAGCCTCCTCTACACCAGCCTCCTCTACACCCGCCTCCTCTACACCCGCCTCCTCTACACCCGCCTCCTCTACACCAGCGTGTATACTAACCAACCAACTAGCGTGAAGTAGAGTGTTTATTGACGAGTCAAAAAGTAAACTTGGAAAACGCCGCGTCGAAAAGTCAAGTGATGGTGACTACTCAGATTAGATCAATTGTGATTAACTTTTGTCAATAAAGATGTTAATGATGATAAGTGATGGTGATAATGGAAGTGTTTTCATTCATCTTGAAAACACTTTGCGTGTGTTGTGATATCCGAGGCAAGGTGAACCGCATCAGTGTTGAACAGCTTCCACAGAACAGCTTGGATAAAGTCCGGGGCTTCTTTGTCCTCTACAAGATGTGTCGTGACGCCTGTATCATGATACCCGCTGTGGGATGTTGAACACCCGCTGTGGGATGCTGAACACCCGCTATGGGATGCTGAACACCCACTTTGGGATGCTGGACCCTCACTACGGGATGCTGAACACCCACTGTGGCCTGCCCAACATGTCTCTAACTGCTGTTGAACACCCACTGTGAGATGATGAACAGCTACTACGGGATATTGAACACCCACTGTGCTGAATGTCTCCCATGGGTTGTTGAACAGCCATTCTTGGACGCTGTTGTCAGCTAGGTCCAGGCTTCCACCACACGAGTATACCAGAGGTGCTGGACGTCCACACGAGTATACCAGAGGTGCTGGACGTCCACACGAGTATACCAGAGGTGCTGGACGTCCACACGAGTATACCAGAGGTGCTGGACGTCCACACGAGTATACCAGAGGTGCTGGACGTCCACACCAGTATACCAAAGGTGCTGGACGTCCACACGAGTATACCAGAGGTGCTGGACGTCCACACGAGTATACCAGAGGTGCTGGACGTCCACACGAGTATACCAGAGGTGCTGGACGTTCACACGAGTATACCAGAGGTGCTGGACGTCCACACCAGTATACCAGAGGTGCTGGACGTCCACACGAGTATACCAGAGGTGCTGGACGTCCACACGAGTATACCAGAGGTGCTGGACGTTCACACCAGTATACCAGAGGAGTGTTGCGTCACCACTAACGGTGTTCACCCACACATGAAGGTTAAGGTCATGGTGCTTCACGCTCCTCTTTGCAACTCACAAAATTGGCAACTTTTTATATTTTCTACAAAATGCAATCAGAAAAAGTCTTCATTTACCCTTCACAGAGCTCACAGAGACACAGCAACAACACCCACAGCAAGAGCAGTATACCTACAAGCTGTTCTCTCAAATACTCCACTGCATTTTGGTATACTATGATCCCCACCGGACATAATAAGGGGTACTATAAAAAAAATTGTGGCGGGTAAATATCCTCGTTTTCTGTGCATTGGTTGATGTACTCACCTAGTTGTGTTTGCAGGGGTTGAGCTCTGGCTCTTTGGTCCCGCCTCTCAACTGGAACCAACCTGATGTGTTGGGTTCCCACGCTTTTGTATCCCGCACTTTGTCCCATGTGCCAATTCGAAAGAACGGGCAGCAACAGCATTGCTATTAAGGCATTCAAATGGTTTTTCTTAACATAATGCATATTTTGGGGGCGAAGCCTGCCAAAAAATAATAATGTAACTAGATCTTGTTCCATTAAAGGTACTTAACATAATATTTATTGGGTAAAGCTTTCCATGGTTAGCCTTGTGAAGTTTCTGTTATATATCTAGATACTGTAGTGGAGACGCCAGTTGAACTTCCTTGTGCTGGTGGGCCTCAATGTTAACTGGGATGTTAACTAACAATGTTAGTTAACTAACAGTTAGTTAACTAACAAAGTTAGTTTTAACAATGTTAACTAGCTTTAACTAATCAAAGTTAACTAACAATGTTAACTCAGTCCCTAAAAAAAACATCAATTTGTCGTGGTGACAGTAAACTGGTTCACAGAGGTTTTATAATTATTATTATTATTATTATTTTCTACCACAGACGTGGCCAGACATTTACAATGCTAACCAACATATATACATTTTCTTCTGTCCTCCATGGACAGGAGTGAGAGATCTGTTTCACGGAGGTGATGGAACCAAGTCGTCTTGGTTCAGAGAGGTGACCGTGCCACTAGAACAGGTCACTCGTGTGTGTGTGTGTGTAAAGTAGGTCATTCACACCGAGGAAACATGGACTCGGGTGAGCTTAAAGTTGTAATTATTCTATGGAGACGAAAATCGTTGTGTGGTGACTGAGGGAGTCTTAGTGTTAATGTTTATGTCGTGTTCTCCGTCAGGTTGTCGGCGTCACCCTCACCATGAAGCTCTCACTCTCCACGACGCCCCTTATGGTGCTCTCAGCGGCTCTCCTCGTCACCGCCACTCTGGCCGTCGACGTTGGCCTCCGAAGAGAAAGTCGCTCCGTCCGCAATTGTCTCCGTAAGTCGACGTCATCCACCTGATCGCTTCTCAGACTGTGTAAATACACCTATGTGCTGGGATACTCAGTACCCAGGTCTAAAGTTTAATTACCAGCAGTGTTCAGAAGACAAGGGGGCGCTTATATATATAATATGGGGGGCGGGGGTTAATAAATAAATAGCCACAGTGGAAAATTGGGTGACTTCAACAGTCACCCAATCGTTGGGCAACTCCCCCCCCCCCCCAGAGTCGCTATTGGACTTGCCTGATCCAATCTATTGTTCTCAATCTATTTTGTGGCCAATATTTTGGACTTGTTGACAGATTACCAGGCTATCCTGTGCATGTTCAATCGTATCATGATTTGTTCACATTCATGTTTGTTCCTATGTGATCGATCACGGCTGTCACAATAACACTTAATTTATCACGTTCAGTTAATTAGTTACGGTGACTGGTGAGTGTAACTGTGTTGTTGTTGTTGTTGTTATTGTGCTCCTGAAAGGTGTTGTTCAACTCTTGTAACAACAGCCATTTGTGTTCCTTGACTTTTGTCACGGTAATAATATACTTAGTAACAGTATTTGCCGGGGTACAAGCCGCACCTATTTAAAAATATATATTTTCTAGACAAAAAACAATTTAAGTATGTTTCATCATATATATATATATATATATATATATATATATATATATACAATCTTTGGACAACACCCACCAGTGGGACTCGAACCCAGAAAGCACAACTACCTTCCAGTAGCTGGCATAACTAGTATGCTTTAACCCACTACGCCATCAGACCTTACAAAAGAAGTAGATAGTTCGAGATATATATATTTCAAACATCTCTACCTCCCGAAGGCACCAGATGAGTGAGGGGTCAGTCTGCATTTTTCGTCAAGCCACTGTCAATGTGAGAGAACTCGTGTCCAGCTTATAAGCCTATACTTGCATAAACCACAAGTGAAGATAAACAATCTTTGGACAACACCCACCAGTGGGACTCGAACCCAGAAAGCACAACTACCTTCCAGTAGCTGGCATAACTAGTATGCTTTAACCCACTACGCCATCAGACCTTACAAAAGAAGTAGATAGTTCGAGATATATATATTTCAAACATCTCTACCTCCCGAAGGCACCAGATGAGTGAGGGGTCAGTCTGCATTTTTCGTCAAGCCACTGTCAATGTGAGAGAACTCGTGTCCAGCTTATAAGCCTATACTTGCATAAACCACAAGTGAAGATAAACAATCTTTGGACAACACCCACCAGTGGGACTCGAACCCAGAAAGCACAACTACCTTCCAGTAGCTGGCATAACTAGTATGCTTTAACCCACTACGCCATCAGACCTTACAAAAGAAGTAGATAGTTCGAGATATATATATTTCAAACATCTCTACCTCCCGAAGGCACCAGATGAGTGAGGGGTCAGTCTGCATTTTTCGTCAAGCCACTGTCAATGTGAGAGAACTCGTGTCCAGCTTATAAGCCTATACTTGCATAAACCACAAGTGAAGATAAACAATCTTTGGACAACACCCACCAGTGGGACTCGAACCCAGAAAGCACAACTACCTTCCAGTAGCTGGCATAACTAGTATGCTTTAACCCACTACGCCATCAGACCTTACAAAAGAAGTAGATAGTTCGAGATATATATATTTCAAACATCTCTACCTCCCGAAGGCACCAGATGAGTGAGGGGTCAGTCTGCATTTTTCGTCAAGCCACTGTCAATGTGAGAGAACTCGTGTCCAGCTTATGAGCCTATACTTGCATAAACCACAAGTGAAGATAAACAATCTTTGGACAACACCCACCAGTGGGACTCGAACCCAGAAAGCACAACTACCTTCCAGTAGCTGGCATAACTAGTATGCTTTAACCCACTACGCCATCAGACCTTACAAAAGAAGTAGATAGTTCGAGATATATATATTTCAAACATCTCTACCTCCCGAAGGCACCAGATGAGTGAGGGGTCAGTCTGCATTTTTCGTCAAGCCACTGTCAATGTGAGAGAACTCGTGTCCAGCTTATAAGCCTATACTTGCATAAACCACAAGTGAAGATAAACAATCTTTGGACAACACCCACCAGTGGGACTCGAACCCAGAAAGCACAACTACCTTCCAGTAGCTGGCATAACTAGTATGCTTTAACCCACTACGCCATCAGACCTTACAAAAGAAGTAGATAGTTCGAGATATATATATTTCAAACATCTCTACCTCCCGAAGGCACCAGATGAGTGAGGGGTCAGTCTGCATTTTTCGTCAAGCCACTGTCAATGTGAGAGAACTCGTGTCCAGCTTATAAGCCTATACTTGCATAAACCACAAGTGAAGATAAACAATCTTTGGACAACACCCACCAGTGGGACTCGAACCCAGAAAGCACAACTACCTTCCAGTAGCTGGCATAACTAGTATGCTTTAACCCACTACGCCATCAGACCTTACAAAAGAAGTAGATAGTTCGAGATATATATATTTCAAACATCTCTACCTCCCGAAGGCACCAGATGAGTGAGGGGTCAGTCTGCATTTTTCGTCAAGCCACTGTCAATGTGAGAGAACTCGTGTCCAGCTTATAAGCCTATACTTGCATAAACCACAAGTGAAGATAAACAATCTTTGGACAACACCCACCAGTGGGACTCGAACCCAGAAAGCACAACTACCTTCCAGTAGCTGGCATAACTAGTATGCTTTAACCCACTACGCCATCAGACCTTACAAAAGAAGTAGATAGTTCGAGATATATATATTTCAAACATCTCTACCTCCCGAAGGCACCAGATGAGTGAGGGGTCAGTCTGCATTTTTCGTCAAGCCACTGTCAATGTGAGAGAACTCGTGTCCAGCTTATAAGCCTATACTTGCATAAACCACAAGTGAAGATAAACAATCTTTGGACAACACCCACCAGTGGGACTCGAACCCAGAAAGCACAACTACCTTCCAGTAGCTGGCATAACTAGTATGCTTTAACCCACTACGCCATCAGACCTTACAAAAGAAGTAGATAGTTCGAGATATATATATTTCAAACATCTCTACCTCCCGAAGGCACCAGATGAGTGAGGGGTCAGTCTGCATTTTTCGTCAAGCCACTGTCAATGTGAGAGAACTCGTGTCCAGCTTATAAGCCTATACTTGCATAAACCACAAGTGAAGATAAACAATCTTTGGACAACACCCACCAGTGGGACTCGAACCCAGAAAGCACAACTACCTTCCAGTAGCTGGCATAACTAGTATGCTTTAACCCACTACGCCATCAGACCTTACAAAAGAAGTAGATAGTTCGAGATATATATATTTCAAACATCTCTACCTCCCGAAGGCACCAGATGAGTGAGGGGTCAGTCTGCATTTTTCGTCAAGCCACTGTCAATGTGAGAGAACTCGTGTCCAGCTTATAAGCCTATACTTGCATAAACCACAAGTGAAGATAAACAATCTTTGGACAACACCCACCAGTGGGACTCGAACCCAGAAAGCACAACTACCTTCCAGTAGCTGGCATAACTAGTATGCTTTAACCCACTACGCCATCAGACCTTACAAAAGAAGTAGATAGTTCGAGATATATATATTTCAAACATCTCTACCTCCCGAAGGCACCAGATGAGTGAGGGGTCAGTCTGCATTTTTCGTCAAGCCACTGTCAATGTGAGAGAACTCGTGTCCAGCTTATAAGCCTATACTTGCATAAACCACAAGTGAAGCCACATTGACAGTGGCTTGACGAAAAATGCAGACTGACCCCTCACTCATCTGGTGCCTTCGGGAGGTAGAGATGTTTGAAATATATATATCTCGAACTATCTACTTCTTTTGTAAGGTCTGATGGCGTAGTGGGTTAAAGCATACTAGTTATGCCAGCTACTGGAAGGTAGTTGTGCTTTCTGGGTTCGAGTCCCACTGGTGGGTGTTGTCCAAAGATTGTTTATCTTCACTTGTGGTTTATGCAAGTATAGGCTTATAAGCTGGACACGAGTTCTCTCACATTGACAGTGGCTTGACGAAAAATGCAGACTGACCCCTCACTCATCTGGTGCCTTCGGGAGGTAGAGATGTTTGAAATATATATATCTCGAACTATCTACTTCTTTTGTAAGGTCTGATGGCGTAGTGGGTTAAAGCATACTAGTTATGCCAGCTACTGGAAGGTAGTTGTGCTTTCTGGGTTCGAGTCCCACTGGTGGGTGTTGTCCAAAGATTGTTTATCTTCACTTGTGGTTTATGCAAGTATAGGCTTATAAGCTGGACACGAGTTCTCTCACATTGACAGTGGCTTGACGAAAAATGCAGACTGACCCCTCACTCATCTGGTGCCTTCGGGAGGTAGAGATGTTTGAAATATATATATCTCGAACTATCTACTTCTTTTGTAAGGTCTGATGGCGTAGTGGGTTAAAGCATACTAGTTATGCCAGCTACTGGAAGGTAGTTGTGCTTTCTGGGTTCGAGTCCCACTGGTGGGTGTTGTCCAAAGATTGTTTATCTTCACTTGTGGTTTATGCAAGTATAGGCTTATAAGCTGGACACGAGTTCTCTCACATTGACAGTGGCTTGACGAAAAATGCAGACTGACCCCTCACTCATCTGGTGCCTTCGGGAGGTAGAGATGTTTGAAATATATATATCTCGAACTATCTACTTCTTTTGTAAGGTCTGATGGCGTAGTGGGTTAAAGCATACTAGTTATGCCAGCTACTGGAAGGTAGTTGTGCTTTCTGGGTTCGAGTCCCACTGGTGGGTGTTGTCCAAAGATTGTTTATCTTCACTTGTGGTTTATGCAAGTATAGGCTTATAAGCTGGACACGAGTTCTCTCACATTGACAGTGGCTTGACGAAAAATGCAGACTGACCCCTCACTCATCTGGTGCCTTCGGGAGGTAGAGATGTTTGAAATATATATATCTCGAACTATCTACTTCTTTTGTAAGGTCTGATGGCGTAGTGGGTTAAAGCATACTAGTTATGCCAGCTACTGGAAGGTAGTTGTGCTTTCTGGGTTCGAGTCCCACTGGTGGGTGTTGTCCAAAGATTGTTTATCTTCACTTGTGGTTTATGCAAGTATAGGCTTATAAGCTGGACACGAGTTCTCTCACATTGACAGTGGCTTGACGAAAAATGCAGACTGACCCCTCACTCATCTGGTGCCTTCGGGAGGTAGAGATGTTTGAAATATATATATCTCGAACTATCTACTTCTTTTGTAAGGTCTGATGGCGTAGTGGGTTAAAGCATACTAGTTATGCCAGCTACTGGAAGGTAGTTGTGCTTTCTGGGTTCGAGTCCCACTGGTGGGTGTTGTCCAAAGATTGTTTATCTTCACTTGTGGTTTATGCAAGTATAGGCTTATAAGCTGGACACGAGTTCTCTCACATTGACAGTGGCTTGACGAAAAATGCAGACTGACCCCTCACTCATCTGGTGCCTTCGGGAGGTAGAGATGTTTGAAATATATATATCTCGAACTATCTACTTCTTTTGTAAGGTCTGATGGCGTAGTGGGTTAAAGCATACTAGTTATGCCAGCTACTGGAAGGTAGTTGTGCTTTCTGGGTTCGAGTCCCACTGGTGGGTGTTGTCCAAAGATTGTTTATCTTCACTTGTGGTTTATGCAAGTATAGGCTTATAAGCTGGACACGAGTTCTCTCACATTGACAGTGGCTTGACGAAAAATGCAGACTGACCCCTCACTCATCTGGTGCCTTCGGGAGGTAGAGATGTTTGAAATATATATATCTCGAACTATCTACTTCTTTTGTAAGGTCTGATGGCGTAGTGGGTTAAAGCATACTAGTTATGCCAGCTACTGGAAGGTAGTTGTGCTTTCTGGGTTCGAGTCCCACTGGTGGGTGTTGTCCAAAGATTGTTTATCTTCACTTGTGGTTTATGCAAGTATAGGCTTATAAGCTGGACACGAGTTCTCTCACATTGACAGTGGCTTGACGAAAAATGCAGACTGACCCCTCACTCATCTGGTGCCTTCGGGAGGTAGAGATGTTTGAAATATATATATCTCGAACTATCTACTTCTTTTGTAAGGTCTGATGGCGTAGTGGGTTAAAGCATACTAGTTATGCCAGCTACTGGAAGGTAGTTGTGCTTTCTGGGTTCGAGTCCCACTGGTGGGTGTTGTCCAAAGATTGTTTATCTTCACTTGTGGTTTATGCAAGTATAGGCTTATAAGCTGGACACGAGTTCTCTCACATTGACAGTGGCTTGACGAAAAATGCAGACTGACCCCTCACTCATCTGGTGCCTTCGGGAGGTAGAGATGTTTGAAATATATATATCTCGAACTATCTACTTCTTTTGTAAGGTCTGATGGCGTAGTGGGTTAAAGCATACTAGTTATGCCAGCTACTGGAAGGTAGTTGTGCTTTCTGGGTTCGAGTCCCACTGGTGGGTGTTGTCCAAAGATTGTTTATCTTCACTTGTGGTTTATGCAAGTATAGGCTTATAAGCTGGACACGAGTTCTCTCACATTGACAGTGGCTTGACGAAAAATGCAGACTGACCCCTCACTCATCTGGTGCCTTCGGGAGGTAGAGATGTTTGAAATATATATATCTCGAACTATCTACTTCTTTTGTAAGGTCTGATGGCGTAGTGGGTTAAAGCATACTAGTTATGCCAGCTACTGGAAGGTAGTTGTGCTTTCTGGGTTCGAGTCCCACTGGTGGGTGTTGTCCAAAGATTGTTTATCTTCACTTGTGGTTTATGCAAGTATAGGCATATATATATATATATATATATATATATATATATATATATATATATATATATATATATATATATATATATATATATATATAAAAGCGATGTTCAACCGCTTGATATTGTAAGTATATTGACCTTAACGTGTTGCTCTTCTGCAATCGCTTTCACAGTGTCACTGAGGATGCTAAGTAGTAACCTAGCGAAACGAGGGCATTTGCCCCTGAAGCTCTGACTATGTTACTGGTGTTGCAGGGATCTTCTGCGACCACAACGAGACGTGCTATGACTGCGCCAAGGACACCTTCTCAGAGGACAAGGAAGCCATCAGGACCTGTATCAGAGCAGCGGGTAAGTGACCCCGATCCGCTAGCTCCTGGATGGGTGCCCTCTTGAGACATGCATATTGACCAGATCACACACTAGAACGTGAAGGGACTACGACGTTTCGGTCCGTCCTGGATCATTCTCAAGTCGATTCACAGAGAATGAGAATGGTCGATCACACACTAGAAGGTGAAGGGACGACGACGTTTCGGTCCGTCCTGGACCATTCTCAAGTCGATTCAAGTCGATTGACAATCGACTTGAGAATGGTCCAGGACGGACCGAAACGTCGTCGTCCCTTCACCTTCTAGTGTGTGGTCTGGTCAACATACTTTAGCCACGTTATTGTGACTCATCGCCTGCACATGCAATATTAAAATGACATTAGCCAACGCTATACCAAAAATTATATCACACCTATATCAAAAGTCCCCCATTAAGATACCACTGAAAGTTAACAGTATGCTCGTTATAAGAACATGTCTCCTTGAAGCTACCACAACATGTCTCTGGGTGGCTTCACGTGAAAGATATACATATTAATATGTATCAAAGATCAGCAGACTTTGTGTTCAGAATGTGATAGAGGCCAAAATGGCGGCTGATGCGACACAAGTCAGTACAATAGTGTGTTTTAATCTCAGATAATTCTATAAATTCGTACCTCCTGTGATTGTATGTTGGTGAATGTTGGGGATTATCTATACTTTAAACGGGATTGATGTATGATAATACCATCGTGTGTATGGTTCAGCAGGTGAGGGAGTACAGTGGTCACACCTGTGTTGGGTCAGCCTGCTCTCTTGAGTTGCCCCAATGATCAAAATACGGTGTTCTAAAACGCCTCAAACCGACACCCACCTAACCTAACCCCCCTCCCCCCCCACACACACACACACGCACACACACACACACACACACACACACACACACACACACACACGACCATGATTCAGAACATGCAGCCAGTGATAGCAATCCCCAGTGAAGGAATGTTTCTTCAACAGAGAAGGTGTGTGATCGCATGCCGTCCGCCGAGCTGGCGGTAGTGAGGCAGTGTGTGGAGCAGGCCAGTGCTAATGTGAGTATACTGCTACTACCATGGGCTGCGGCACCCCCACCTACCATGGGAGTGCCTTCCCTCTCCCACGTACCATGGGAGTGCCTTCCCTCTCCCACCTACCTTCCCTCTGCCTTCACAACACCTCACTCACACCTTGCCTTTTGTCCCACCCCGTCTAATCTTTTCCAGTCACTGCCAGTGTGTCCCCCAGTCACTTCCATTCTGTTCCAATCACTTCCGGCTTGTCTAGCACTTCCAGCTTATTCCAGACAATTGAGAAAGCGCCCGTTTGCTTCCAGTTAGTTCCAGTCAATTCCACTTTCAGCTTGTTCCCATCTATTCAACGTTATTTCTATCAATTCCAGCTTAATACAATCTATTCCAGCTTGTTCCATTACTTTTTTTGTTGTGGCACAGTGCCATGAACACATCTTTGTTATTAACACATTCAGGTATATGTGCATTTGTGCAGCTGCGCAAGACTATTATATGAAGGAGGTACAGAGTGTGTCAAAAGCTAAACATCCCCATCACACAGGTACGGTGTGCTAAACATCCCCATCACACAGGTACGGTGTGCTAAACATCCCCATCACACAGGTACGGTGTGCTAAACATCCTCCATCACACAGGATGGTTAGTCATACAGGGCCATGTGATCAGTAGTCTGCTCTGGCAAATTTGGCATGCATTATGCGGATACCATTTAGATTCTAGAACACAGCAGTGAATCCAGTACACCAGGCAACTCTATGGTGTGTGTTCTCCAATGTTTAAGCAATTCTCTTATACCATTCCTGATGTATTACTGAGAAACATTCCAGCTCACTTGGTGCTAGGGAATGTAATCTCTCTCTTCTCTCTGCCCTCTCTCTTCTCATCCCCTGTCTTCTTCCCCTCTCTCTACCCAACCACTTGGGCTGGACTGTAGAGCGACGGTCTCGCTTCATGCAGGTCGGCGTTCAATTCCCGACCGTTCAAGTGGTTGGGCACCATTCCTTCCCTCCGTTCCATCCCAAATCCTTATCCTAACCCCCTTCCCAGTGCTATATAGTCGTATATAGCATATATAGAACCTGCCAGCCGCATTAGTTCTCTTTGATATATATCACGTTAGTTGTTATTTCTGTGTGTAACTAACGAGGGTGTTGATATGCATCTAACAAATGCCACTAACAAGGGCGTCCAAGTGTTGACCAGACCGCACACTAGAAGGTGAAGGGACGACGACGTTTCGGTCCGTCCTGGACCATTCTCAAGTCGATTGCGATTCACAATCGACTTGAGAATGATCCAGGACGGACCGAAACGTCGTCGTCCCTTCACCTTCTAGTGTGTGGTCTGGTCAACATACTTCAGCCACGTTATTGTGACTCCTCGTCTGCATCAGCGTCGAAGTGTTACTAACGTAAAGTATTGTGTACCACACGCAGATCTCAACCTGCTTCGCCGGAGTTGCTTCAAGAGGGTCGTGTCCTGCAGGCCTCGGCAGCCCGACCCCCACACAGCCTACTGCGGCGCTGCTGAATGACACTGCCCAGACTGACGAAGCTGTTACTGAAAAAGACGAAGCTGCTGCTGGGACCCAGGGAGCGGCTGTTGGGAGCCAGGGAGCTGCTGTTGGGACCCAGGGAGCTGCTGTTGGGACCCAGGAAGCTGCTATTGGGACCCAGGGAGCGGCTGCTGGGAGCCAGGGAACGACTGTTGAAACCCCGGGAACGACTGTTGGAACCCCGGGAACGACTGTTGGAACCCCGGGAACGACTGTTGGAACCCAGGGAGCGGCTGTTGGGACCCAGGGAGCAGCTGTTGGGACCCAGGGAACAGCTGTTGGGACCCAGGGAACAGCTGTTGGGACCCAGGGAGCAGCTGCTAGGATTAATGAAAGACTGGCTACTTGGACCCCCGAAGTAGCTATTGGTACGCAAGAAAAAGACCCCGCGGCTGTTATAGCAGCAGCAATTGCTGAGGCGAACAGGAGAACCAACGGGGCGGCGGCTGGGACAAGCTACTTCTAAACAAAGGAAACACGAAGAAAACAATAACTAACTAGCACTTCCTGCCGTAAAGTGTCAAGTTTAGACTTGGTCTTTTACTGTCGCGTTACTTCCAAGACCCACTCTCACCCTCCACTCTCATAGTGTCTTCACCACCACCACAGGGAACCACGGCCCGGTACCCTATGATCCCAGAGGGGAGTGGGGAACCCTCCACAAGCCCATACAGGCTCACCATAGCTCGTGCTACTTGCCCCGCTCCTGTGTGAGGTAAGCTACGGGTTCACTATAGCCCGTGCTACTTGGAACTTATTCTAAGTAGCTGAATCTATAACAACAACAACTCCACAAGCCACAACACCTCCAAAACCACCACCACTCTATAGCTCCACCACAACACCCCCACTCAAAGTCTCCAACAAATCACCTCTACTACAACACTCATTCTCAGTTACACAATTGTCAACACTCTGCAAGTGAAGCTGTGGAGCCTCGCTGTTGCAAATGCTGCAGCAGAACTTGCAGAGTAACTTATCCATGTATCGTAACTCATACATACTGTAATACGTTGATATATTTATTTATTGATATATTATTTATATTTGATATATTTATTTATTGATATATTTATTTATATTTATTTATTGCGTTCATACGAAATATTATTGTATTTAAATCTTAATAAAGTACCTATTGTTTACTTAATTAGTAGTATTGCAACGAGCCCATCCTTGGCCTCCGTCTGGTCACCTGTGTTAGACAGGAGTATCACTGACAACTTGATATAAGTTACGAACCATAAATTTGTAGACATAAATAATATCTAAGGAAATAAACATACAAATGTATTGGCAAGGGTATATCTGTCTGTCTGTCTGTCTGTCTGTCTGTCTGTCTGTCTGTCTGTCTGTCTGTCTGCCTGTCTGTCTGTCTGTCTGTCTGTCTGTCTGTCTGTCTGTCTGTCTCTGTCTATCTATCTGTCTGTCTGTCTGTCTGTCTGTCTGTCTGTCTGTCTGTCTGTCTGTCTGTCTGTCTGTCTGTCTCTCTCTCTCTCTCTCTCTCTCTCTCTCTCTCTCTCTCTCTCTCTCTCTCTCTCTCTCTCTCTCTCTCTCTCTCTCTCTCTCTCTCTCTCTCTCTGTCTCCTGTATGATGTCCATAGCCACCCTCTGCTTGACCTCAATCAAATGAGCCTGTCCAATCACTTGGGCTGGACGGTAGAGCGACGGTCTTGCTTCGTGCAGGTCGGCGTTCAATCCCCCAAGTGGTTGGGCACCATTCCTTTCTCCCCCGTCCCATCTCGAAACCTTATCCTGACCCCTTCCAAGTGCTATATAGTCGTAATGGCTTGGCGCTTTCCCCTGATAATTCCCTCCATCTCACAAGGTATCTTGCTAAAGAAATGAACACAAAGTCTCATAGTACCTAAAGTCAGTACCAATTCCTAAACCTAACTCTCAAAAATTCAGACCCATTTCCCTTACATCTTGCATGTGTAAAGTCCTGGAGAGAATTGTTCTCAATCGTGTCATGTTTCAGGTCAAAGAAAAACTGGCTCCTAACCTATATGGGTTCATGCCCAAGTGTAGCACACAAACATGCTTTGCTGAATATTTTGTAAACTCCCAGGATGGGACACAGGCAGCCTTTATTGACCTAAAGTCAGCTTTCGACGTAGCGAATGGCGAAATAATATTAGAGCAACTTGCTGAATTTGGAGTCAAAGGTAATCTTCTGAGTTGGATAAAGAACTATCTATCCAACAGGCGTGCTAGTGTCCTATTTAAAGGAGTTAAAAGTACAAGAACAGATGCATTCGAACTAGGCACACCTCAAGGTGGTGTTCTAAGCCCTATGCTCTTCAATATACTTATGCACAAACTTATCCATGACATACCTGTACAACCTACGGGAACTGTTATATGTTATGCTGATGATATTTGTATTATGGCACACAGTAAGCCCAGAACCCTACGATCCCAGAGGGGAGTGGGGAACCCTCCACAGGCCAATGCATCAAGTAACACTATAGTGTTACTTGATGCATTCTGCAAGAAAGTAGTTGCATGTGGCCTCATAATCTCTGTTGATAAAACAAGGGTTCTTATTCCCCATTCTCTTCATGTTAACTATACTATTAATGGAGTGCCCGTGGAGACTCGTGAATCTTTTAAATATTTTGGAGTCGAGGTTAATGATACAAACTTCATCAGCAACCTGCACAAAAAACTAGTTGAGCGTCTTGAACCTCTCAAAACTCTTGTTGGCAAAGGATTTGGCATTAACATAAAATATGCTCGTAGTTTTTATATTGCCTTTATACGATCTGTTGTTGATTATTATGTTATCCTCTTAATTTTTCTCCTAAACAGCTACAAGGCCTAGATGTAGTACAGAATGATGCCATGCGCATCATCCTGGGTTGTCTAGAACTGTCAGAATTGTTAACATGAGAAAGGAACTAAAATTACCTTATATTTACGAGAAAATAGTTCTATTTAATTTTGAAAAATAATGCCCCCCCCCCAGCTCTATTCAAATTAAATTGAGATTTATTCTAAACAATTCTGACTGTTCCCTCAGTCCGCCGCCAGAACCTTCCTACAGTGTGTGGCTCAGTTGTTGTGCCAATAATCTTATGATACGGAACCGGTCGGGAGCCGGTCGGGAGCCGGTCGGGAGCCGGTCGGCCGAGCGGACAGCACGCTGGACTTGTGATCCTGTGGTCCTGGGTTCGATCCCAGGCGCCGGCGAGAAACAATGGGCAGAGTTTCTTTCATCCTATGCCCCTGTTACCTAACAGTAAAATAGGTACCTGGGTATTAGTCAGCTGTCACGGGCTGCTTCCTGGAGGTGGAGGCCTGGTCGAGGACCGGGCCGCGGGGACACTAAAGCCCCGAAATCATCTCAAGATAACCTCAAGATTGGAAAGATGTGGAGGTCTCTCTGCATTATACCCCCATCAGTGCAAAACAAATGTTTTGCTGACATTTTGACATGTATAACAGTAGAAGCTGTTGACAGTCTTCAAAATCTCAAACCAACTGAAACCTACACCTTTACTGATGGTTCTGTGCAATTAGGCACTGGTAGAACAGGTTGTGCATGTACAGTATATAAAGGGAATGAAATGATCATGTCTAGTACACAGAGACTGAACAACTGGGCAAGCACGACACAGACTGAACTATTGGGTATTTATCTAGCCACTGAATACCTTAAGCTCAATGGTGGTGGAGTGATATTCTGTGACTCTAAAAGTGTTCTGCAGTCCTTAAATAACCCATCACAATGTATGTCGGAAGTAGCTTGTAATATTAAATGGAATGTAATTTTTGCCAAAGAAAATAACTATTGTTTAAAGTTTGCGTTAATCCCATCCCATGTTGGAGTTGGAAAACATGACTTTGTAGATCGATTGGCCAATGAGGCTTGCAGGAAAGAAAACACTGATTATGACTTTGGACTATCTAATGCAATTATTAGAAATATAAAAATTAAAGAAATTAATTCAGATTTAGAAGAACTAAGAAATGCCCAGAGACCTGAAAGCTGCAGTATTAAAAGTTATGACAACTTTTGTAATAATAGGTATTTGTGTGGTCAGCACAGTAACCGGACCAGGCAATGTGATGTAGTCATTGCAGTAATTAGTCTTGGTTATAGGCACATCTGGCAGGTTAGTGAGGCTGAATATTCTACACTACCAGAATATTCAGATTGTAAACTCTGTGACAAACCTATAATGCATTCATTAGAACACTATATTGTTGAACGTGAAACCGTAGAAGATTTTAGACCTCCTGGCCTAAAGGGGCATGGCCTAAAGCGCTTTGCTAAGGGCAAAGTATCAATATACAATGGCGTATGGTATAGCAAGGACAAATTACAATTTTCTCAGGGGGGTCGAGCCGGTAGCCATTGTCTGAATCGTCACGGGGTTCGCTATGAGATCCTGCCACTTTGTACACGGACCAATGGTACCAACTTCAAGTGGCCCTTGTTGTGTACCTACCCAACAGCACTCACCGTGCAACGTTGGACGAGACTAGCCCCAAACGTCTGGTTTCCATCCTCGGACAGACAAACAAACATTCTATGAAATAGACATAGATCCCTCCAATGTTACATTAATGAATTGCTTTTGTAAAAGCTATGTAAACACTGCTTTCTTTGCTTACTTGAAATGTTACCGTAATATTGTATTGATCAAGCCGGTCGGCCGAGCGGATAGCACACTGGACTTGTGATCCTGTGGTCGTGGGTTCGATCCCAGGCGCCGGCGAGAAACAATGGGCAGAGTTTCTTTCACCCTATGCCCCTGTTACCTAGCAGTAAAATAGGTACCTGGGTGTTAGTCAGCTGTCACGGGCTGTTCCCTGGGGGTGGAGGCCTGGTCGAGAACCGGGCCGCGGGGACACTAAAGCCCCGAAATCATCTCAAGATAACCTCAAAATAATCAAAGAGATGCGAAAGCCAAGATCTTCTCGCCCTGAATCCCTAGTGACCTGGGATGCATTGTTCATTCTTGGACAAAAACTGGCAAAGTTGGCTTTCTGACATCTTCTCAAACTCCATAATGATGTGTGTGACCGTCGGGGGCTTCTACCTCTGCTTTAATAACTGGCCAAGCGGAGCAGTGGCCGCTCTTCTTGGTGTCTGAGCCCGGGAACCTGTTACTGGGATTTTGCTTCCTCTTATACTGAATAGCTGTCTTACTGTTATTTTATACTTTATATATGACCGACCCCGGGATACACTGGTTGATCATACTTATATATGACGCACCCTGGGCTACACTGGTCGATCATACTTATATATAACTGACCTCGGGCTACACTGGTCGATCATACTTATATATGACAGCCCGCGAGGCTACACTGGTCGACCATACTTATATATGACGGCCCGCGAGGCTACACTGATCGACCTTACTTATATATGACGGCCCGCGAGGCTACACTGGTCGACCATACTTATATATGACCGACCCTGGGCTACACTGGTCGACCATACTTATATATGACCCACTTCGGGCCACACTGGTCGACCACACAAATATGACCGACCCTGGGCCACACTGGTCGACCACACCTATATGACCGACCCTGGGCCACACTGGTCGACCACACCTATATGACCGACCCTGGGCTACACTGGTCGACCACACCTATATGACCGACCCTGGGCCACACTGGTCGACCACACCTATATGACCGACCCTGGGCCACACTGGTCGACCACACCTATATGACCGACCCTGGGCCACACTGGTCGACCACACCTATATGACCTACCCTGGACCACACTGGTCGACCACACTAATATGACCCACCCTGGGCCACACTGGTCGACCACACCTATATGTCCCACCCCGGGCCACACTGGTCGACCACACCTATATGTCCCACCCCGGGCCACACTGGTCGACCATATTTATATATGACCCACCCCGGGCCACACTGGTCGACCACACAAATATGACCGACCCTGGGCCACACTGGTCGACCACACCAATATGACCCACCCCGGGCCACACTGGTCGACCACACCTATATGACCCACCCCGGGCCACACTGGTCGACCACACCTATATGACCCACCCCGGGCCACACTGGTCGACCACACCTATATGACCGACCCTGGGCCACACTGGTCGACCACACCTATATGACCCACCCCGGGCCACACTGGTCGACCACACCTATATGACCGACCCTGGGCCACACTGGTCGACCACACCTATATGACCGACCCTGGGCCACACTGGCCGACCACACCTATATGACCGACCCTGGGCCACACTGGTCGACCACACCTATATGACCGACCCTGGGCCACACTGGCCGACCACACCTATATGACCGACCCTGGGCCACACTGGTCGACCACACCTATATGACCGACCCTGGGCCACACTGGTCGACCACACCTATATGACCGACCCTGGGCCACACTGGTCGACCACACCTATATGACCGACCCTGGGCCACACTGGTCGACCACACCTATATGACCCACCCCTTGCCACACTGGTCGACCACACTAATATGGCCCACCCTGGGCCACACTGGTCGACCACACCTATATGACCCACCCCGGGCCACACTGGTCGACCACACCTATATGACCGACCCTGGGCCACACTGGTCGACCACACCTATATGACCCACCCCGGGCCACACTGGTCGACCACACCTATATGACCGACCCTGGGCCACACTGGTCGACCACACCTATATGACCGACCCTGGACCACACTAGTCGACCACACCAATATGACCGACCCTGAACCACACTGGTCGACCACACCTATATGACCGACCCTGGACCACACTGGTCGACCACACCTATATGACCGACCCTGGACCACACTGGTCGACCACACCTATATGACCGACCCCGGGCCACACTGGTCGACCACACCTAGATGACCCACCCCGGGCCACACTGGTCGACCACACCTACATGACCCACCCTGGGCCACACTGGTCGACCACACCTATATGACCGACCCTGGACCACACTGGTCGACCACACCTATATGACCGACCCCGGGCCACACTGGTCGACCACACCTACATGACCCACCCTGGGCCACACTGGTCGACCACACCTACATGACCCACCCCGGGCCACACTGGTCGACCACACCTATATGACCGACCCCGGGCCACACTGGTCGACCACACCTATATGACCGACCCCGGGCCACACTGGTCGACCACACCTATATGACCCTCCCCGGGCCACACTGGTCGACCACACCTATATGACCGACCCCGGGCCACACTGGTCGACCACACCTATATGACCCTCCCCGGGCCACACTGGTCGACCACACCTATATGACCGACCCTTAGCAACTCTGGGCAACCTACCCACCAGACCGGCCTAGAGGCCAAAACTGGACGTCGCTCCCTGAGGCTATCGAGCAAGCGCCGGGTCAAGCAGTTGGAGGTATATATAAGACAGGCTGTAGTTCCTTCCCTGCACACACACACACCACCACCACCTCGACCCTGCCGTCAGGTAAGGCTCCTTCTCCTTGCTCAGGGAACAGTTATAACTTCTTACAAGACGTGACGCTGTGCTGCCTGACGGCCGTTGTAAGCTGACTAACCGGTTTGATTATGTTTTTTGTAAACAAAGTTTCACTCGTTTTCTAAATCGTAGGTGGATATACTGGGTTTGTTTTGAAGTGGTTTACTGAACAACCAGTGGGTCCTTATCAACACCTTTTATGATACCTGGTTGATTCCTGGTTGATGGGGTTCTGAGAGTTCTACTGCCCGAGGCCAGGCTTGACTTGTGAGAGTTTGGTCCACTAGGCTGTTGCTTGGAGCGGCCCCACAGGCCCACATACCCACCACAGCCTAGTTGAACGGTTGGCCGCTGAGCGCCTGGTATATCCTGGTGTATGTGGTTTGCTGAACACACCCAGGATACTGATGAACACCAACTGGGGTCCAGATGAACACCCATTTTAGAAACTGAACACTATAGTTTTAGACTGCTGAACACCACTGTGGTCTGCTGAACACCCACTGTGGTCTGCTGAACACCCACTGTGGTCTGCTGAACACCCACTGTGGTCTGCTGAACACCCACTGTGGTCTGCTGAACACCCACTGTGGTCTGCTGAACACCCACTGTGGTGGGTGATAACCTGAGGTAGGCTCGATAAGCACAAGAAGCCGGCGGCTTGTCAAAGGTTACCCCATTTGTCTAGATTTTTTCAAGTTAGATTTTAAAGATCAGCAGACTTTTGGCATTTATGACTTCAGCGGGTAGGCGGTTCCGTGGGTTTATAACCCTGTGAGTGAAAAAGCATCTGTTTTCAATCCTACATTGTGGCTTGTTGAGCTTGAAACCGTCTCTCCTTGTTTGTGTTACATCTGATCTCTTGTAGAAGTTGTCCGGATCAACAGCTTTCAAATTATTCAGTATTTTGAACGTTTCAATGACATCAGCCCTATCATGTCTGGTCTGAGGTGTTGTGAGCCCTGTGGCCCTCAACCTGTCCTGTTATGAGAGCTGACTTAGCTTTAGAATTATTTTTGTTGTCCGGTGTTGAACTTTCTCCTATAAAGTTGTGTCTTCCTGAAGATGAGGTCTCTGAGCCTGGATGCAATAATCCAGGAGGAGGCGCACCAGAGATTTATACCACTGAATGACTACCTTCTTTTCCTTAAAGTAAAAGGTACGCTTGATTATTCTTAAAGTTTGGTTAGCTTTTTTTACTGCCGCTCCCAATTGTTGTGCCACTTTTAATGAATGATGGATTCCGACTCCTTGGTCCTTTTCTTCGTCAATCTACTTCCTGTTAATTTGGTATTTGTGACGTGGATTCTTATGCCCCACAAGCAAGGTCTTGCATTTATCGATATTAAAAAGCATTGACCAGTTAGGAAATGTATATGTTTATCTCTCAGAATGTTCGGTAATACGTTTATTGCTTGTGATGTGTGTATATGTATGTCGTAACACGATGTACTGAACGGGGTGAGAATAGCTTGAGCTGCCTCATCCCTTTGTGTGTATTTTACCTCAATAACTTATTTCAATTTCAATTTCAATTTGACCAGTTTTCTGACCATTTATAAAGTCTATGTATATCTCTTTGTAAGGTCTTAATATTTTTTTAATTATATTTGTATACACAAGAGTTCTTATATTCTTGTAAAGCCACTATAGCAAGCATAGCGTTGCGGGCAGGTCCGCCAAATCGTTTAACAACATGTACCATTACGAAAATGCAGTATCAATTTCGCTTTCCACTTTACCATAAATCGTAGTGTTATCTGCATATTTGACGGTGTGGTTTGTAATATTATCATCCATGTCTTTGATGAATATGACAAAAAGCGTTGGTCCCAATATGGACCCCTGAGGTACCCCACTCACCATATTTCTCCACTCATTCCTTCCCATTTAGCACGACCCTTTCTTTTCTTTGTTTTAACCACTGTTTTATCACATTCTAGTATTCTGCCATTCATTCCTTGTGGCTGTAATTTCCTCGCTAGTCTTTCATGTATTACCTTGTCAAAAGCTTAAACAAAGTCCATGTAAATACATCTACATATATCAGCTAACATAACACATATTATCAGCTGTTACGGCGCTGTATCCTGGGGAGGGTCGTTCCACCTTGGATGGACCTTGATACAAGCCTAACATATACACATTCATAGGCTGCCTGGCTCTCGACAAAGCGAATTATTATTGTAAATTGTGGCCCCAAGTAAATTCAAGGGAACAAAATAGTTACCCCAATAATGAAAACGAGAATGTAAAACAGAAACATTAATCATAAAAGAAAACGACGAGGTGCTGGATGGGTAACTATGAGAGCATTATGAATTTTGGTTTGTCGCACTGGAAACCAAATTTGTCGGGATTTAGGCTGCGACTTTCATCTCCTGATGTTAACCATCTCATTTCCCAAAGCGGTAAGTGGTAAGTAAGACGCAAAGTAAGTGCGTCTTACTTACCATCTGGCCCTGTGGTAAGAGCCAGATTTTGGAGGGAGGGAGGGGGGTAGAAATAGCCTAAGCTACTCTATCCCTTTGAGATGAATTTCATTCTTGTCTCAATAAACATACTTGAACTTGAAAGGCCAGATGTACACACAGCTGGAGGTGACAGTTGTACGCCAAGCGGTTTAAACGGAGCTATGGCGGTTAAATGTGTTACGTTCAACCCTTCACAGCTATACACACCCCCACCACTGTTGAACACTTGTGTAAATATTAGCTTACAATACTACAATTCCAACTCTGCCTATGCATCAACCTTATGAGAATTATTTTTGTAATATACTAATTTTCATTCCAGACTATTTTCAGTTAAACACAATTACCGTGCCCTGTGAAAACAGTACTGTGTCCTGTGAGACACAGTACTTGACTCAAGTACAGTACTTGTACTTGACTCACAAATACCTTGTGAGTCAAGATCACACAGAGACAAAAATGTAACTCATTACACATATGACAAGCGGTGCGCCGCTGGACTGAACATGGTATTCAAGGCCAAGGCTCTTGGGTGACTGGTTGCACTATCATGCAAAGTCACTATACTTACTCTCTCGAAGTACCTCACTCGCTTCGAAACGTTTGAGCACTTGCAAACAGAATTGGGAATTTGGTCTTTAAAGATCTATTTTTACATTTCACTGTGCGGGATCTTCGTCAACAACCGACCTTAGAAACCAAATCCAAGCTTAACTGGATGAAGCAGTACTGGTGCTTAATTTAGAGCTTTGCAGCAGGACTGTGTTCACAGAGACACAGCAGTAAGCACAAGAAAAGCAGCACAGGACTCACAGAGATAACGCAAAAACCAGAGCAAGAGCCGTAGTAAGAGCAGCAGTAAGAACAGCAGCAGTAAGAACAGCAGCAGTAAGAGCAGCACAGATGCACAGACCCTGCCGCAACGCTGGACGACACAGCTACACTGTATTGCACAGTCATCCACCTGATATTAATGCTGCCACAATATTTAGACTAATCAATTATTTGTACAGCACACACTGAAACAGTCAAATATATCAATCATAACAGAGTATTCTTTCGCCAGATCAGTAGCTAACTAGATTAGGACAAGCCTCTATCACGTACCTGGCTGCTATTATGGCGATGTCAAGTTGACAACCTGACACATTGTAGGCGATGAGTCACAATAACGTGGCTGAAGTATCGACTTGAGAATGGTCCAGGACGGACCGAAACGTCGTCGTCCCTTCAACTTCTAGTGTGTGTGGTCTGGTCAACATTGACACATTGTAACATGTCAGGTTGACAGCCTTGTACACGTCACAGTGTGGGTCACGCCTCAGCCCCTCACAGTCACCCTCAATACGGATTATGCAGTAAAGCTGTAGAGTATTCTGGAGCGATATGGCTGCACGGAGGTCACCACCACATTACTACAAGTCATCCATGTGTAAAATAGGTTATTCTCTCTCTCAGAAACTATGGTCCAGGTTAAGTTTAATTGTATTATTCCATGGAGACTATGGTGGTCGTTGTGTGGAGACTGAGGGAGTCTTTAGTGTTAATGTTTATGTCGTGTTCTCCGTCAGGTTGTCGGCGTCACCCTCACCATGAAGCTCTCACTGTTCACGACGCCCCTTATGGTGCTCTCAGCGGCTCTCCTCGTCACAGCCACTCTGGAAGTCGACGATGACCTCAGAGAAAGTCGATCTGCCTTCAATTGTCTACGTAAGTACAGCTCGTCCACCCGCGGGGAACGACCAAGCAACTCGGGTGTCGTTTTGTGATGACGGAATTGCTGAACAGACAAGGGCGAACAAGTTTGTTTAAGTGTCCGAGGCAGAGCAGCTTTGACGACTCTCTGGCAGTACAGGAAAATGAATTCAGTCTATCCATTTTTTCTGCTTGAATAATACCATTTTGTTTAAAGCTATAACATGTTCGTTAAATAAAACTTTTCACACACACACACACACACACACACGTGTGTGTGTGTGTGTGTGTGTGTGAAATTACCAACACCTTTGTTAAGACTGTTCTAGTAGGTTAACACGTGTGTTATCATATTGCAGGTATCTTCTGTGACCAGGACAGGACTTGCATCAAATGTACCAGAAGCGTACTGTTTCCAAATGACCATGGTGTACTGAAAAGTATCAACAAGTGTGTGACGGCCCCTAGTGAGTATATGCACGCTCCCTCCCCCATTTCACCCCCACCAGTCACGGCCCAGGGGGGACCCATCAACCATTTACGAAACCACTATATCTTTCCTCAGTCACGATGGGTTTGTTGACATTTATTAACAATGTTCAAGCTCCTATACACTACGAGGCTGTTTATAACAATAACAACATTGGGTTGCTAAAGTTTCCAAGCTGGCAAATTGTTGAATAAATGTAAATAAAGCTGAAATGGTTAAGGAAAGATATACAGGTTTTCGTGAGTGGTTGACGAGTCCTGGTTCGAGTGCCCGTGTAGTAAAGGTCATGAAAACAATGTTATGTTATGAGTACTGAAACTTTCAGCCCCTCACAAGTCTATTTCTTGTGAGGGGGCTGAGAGTCTATTTCTTGTGAGGGGCTGAGAGTCTATTTCTTGTGAGGGGCTGAGAGTCTATTTCTTGTGAGGTGGCTGAGAGTCTATTTCTTGTGAGGGGCTGAGAGTCTATTTCATGTGAGGGGCTGAGAGTCTATTTCATGTGAGGGGCTGAGAGTCTATTTCTTGTGAGGGGCTGAGAGTCTATTTCATGTGAGGGGCTGAGAGTCTATTTCTTGTGAGGGGCTGAGAGTCTATTTCTTGTGAGGGGCTGAGAGTCTATTTCTTGTGAGGTGGCTGAGAGTCTATTTCTTGTGAGGGGGCTGAGGGTCTATTTCATGTGAGGGGCTGAGAGTCTATTTCATGTGAGGGGGCTGAGAGTCTATTTCATGTGAGGGGGCTGAGAGTCTATTTCTTGTGAGGGGCTGAGAGTCTATTTCTTGTGAGGGGCTGAGAGTCTATTTCATGTGAGGGGCTGAGAGTCTATTTCTTGTGAGGGGCTGAGAGTCTATTTCTTGTGAGGGGCTGAGAGTCTATTTCTTGTGAGGGGCTGAGAGTCTATTTCTTGTGAGGGGCTGAGAGTCTATTTCTTGTGAGGGGCTGAGAGTCTATTTCTTGTGAGGGGCTGAGAGTCTATTTCTTGTGAGGGGCTGAGAGTCTATTTCTTGTGAGGGGCTGAGGGTCTATTTCTTGTGAGGGGCTGAGGGTCTATTTCTTGTGAGGGGCTGAGAGTCTATTTCTTGTGAGGGGCTGAGGGTCTATTTCTTGTGAGGGGCTGAGAGTCTATTTCTTGTGAGGGGCTGAGAGTCTATTTCTTGTGAGGGGGCTGAGGGTCTATTTCTTGTGAGGGGCTGAGAGTCTATTTCTTGTGAGGGGGCTGAGAGTCTATTTCTTGTGAGGGGCTGAGAGTCTATTTCATGTGAGGGGGCTGAGAGTCTATTTCTTGTGAGGGGGCTGAGGGTCTATTTCATGTGAGGGGCTGAGAGTCTATTTCATGTGAGGGGCTGAGAGTCTATTTCATGTGAGGGGGCTGAGAGTCTATTTCATGTGAGGGGCTGAGAGTCTATTTCATGTGAGGGGCTGAGGGTCTATTTCATGTGAGGGGCTGAGAGTCTATTTCATGTGAGGGGCTGAGAGTCTATTTCATGTGAGGGGCTGAGAGTCTATTTCTTGTGAGGGGCTGAGAGTCTATTTCATGTGAGGGGGGCTGAGAGTTTATTTCATGTGAGGGGGCTGAGAGTCTATTTCATGTGAGGGGCTGAGAGTCTATTTCATGTGAGGGGGCTGAGAGTCTATTTCTTGTGAGGGGGGCTGAGAGTCTATTTCTATTGCAGGAGTATCGTGCAACAGACTGCCATCCAGCGTCGCTGCCACAGTGAAGCAGTGTATGGCGAAGGCCAGTAATGATGTAAGTGTTGGCTCCTTGCTGTCTCACTCTTCCTTATCTCTCTCTCTCACACATCTAACCTAACCTAACCTTCCTTCTTTCTTTCAATCACTATGAAAAACTTTCCATTTTGGGCTGTTATCGTTTTGTCGGCTGGTTTCAGGAGGCCAATTCCTCCCCCCCCCCCAGCACTACACCCTTCCCCCCCCCCCTTCCCTATCACCTTCATCACGTCAACTACACTTTATTTGGCCATTTTCCCATATCTCTCTTTTTTTTTTTCTAACACAACTTTTAAATGAAAAAAAATTTTTTTGGAATATTTCAAATACTTTATTTTTTTCGCACTCTGGTCATAAATCTTCCTGTGGCACACTACCATGGCCAGAACATAGCACCTTGAAAAACAACTCGAACATTGAACCGTATATAATCAATATGGATGGTCTCGGACGCAGGTTCGAATCCTCGTCACGGCCCATGTGGATTTGTTCATTCGTGTAATATGAAGCCTAGCCTGAACACGATAAAGCTAAGGAAGAACATTATGTTTTTACTGCTAATGAGTCTTATAAATATACCTTAATATTCTGATATAATATATATATATATATATATATATATATATATATATATATATATATATATATATATATATATATATATATATATATATATTCTTAGTATTATTGTAAGCAATATTCTGTATATTTTATGCAGTAATTTAATGACTTTAGAAGAACCCTCCTAATGGTGACTTCTAGATAATGGCTTCTAGATATTAGTCTTTTTCAGACGATATCACTGCACCTCGTGGCCTCAATGATAACGGTTTTCTCCTCCCACCAGATAGCAGCATGCTTTTCCGCGGTGAGTGGCAGCACTCCCGGTGTAATCGTTGGGAGGCCCCCTGTGAGCCCCGGAACTTCTCCCGTGAGCTCCGGAACTCCTCCCGTGAGCCCCGGAACTTCTCCCGTGAGCTCCGGAACTCCTCCCGTGAGCCCCGGAACTTCTCCCGTGAGCTCCGGAACTCCTCCCGTGAGCTCCGGAACTCCTCCCGTGAGCCCCGGAACTTCTCCCGTGAGCTCCGGAACTCCTCCCGTGAGCCCCGGAACTCCTCCCGTGAGCGACGGAACTCCTCCCGTGAGCCCCGGAACTCCTCCCGTGAGCTCCGGAACTCCTCCCGTGAGCCCCGGAACTTCTCCCGTGAGCCCCGGAACTCCTCCCGTGAGCTCCGGAACTCCTCCCGTGAGCTCCGGAACTCCTCCCGTGAGCCCGGGAACTTCTCCCGTGAGCTCCGGAACTCCTCCCGTGAGCCCCGGAACTCCTCCCGTGAGCGACGGAACTCCTCCCGTGAGCGACGGAACTCCTCCCGTGAGCGACGGAACTCCTCCCGTGAGCGACGGAACTCCTCCCGTGAGCAATGGGGTCATTCCCACAACTGATACCCAATCATCAACCGGTGGCACCCAATCATCAACTGGTGGCACCCAATCATCAACTGGTGATAACAAACCATCAACCGGTGACACCCAATCATCAACCAGTGACACCCAATCATCAACCAGTGACACCCAATCATCAACCAGTGGCGCCCAATCATCAACCGGTGGCACCCAATCATCAACCAGTGACACCCAATCATCAACCAGTGGCACCCAATCACCAACCAGTGACACCCAATCACCAACCGGTGGCACTCAATCATCAACCAGTGACACCCAATCACCAACCAGTGACACCCAATCACCAACCGGTGGCACCCAATCATCAACCAGTGACACCCAATCATCAACCGGTGGCACCCAATCATCAACCAGTGGCACCCAATCATCAACCGTTGGCACCGAATCATCAACCGGTGGCACCGAATCATCAACCAGTGACACCCAATCATCAACCAGTGACACCCAATCACCAACCGGTGGCACCCAATCATCAACCAGTGACACCCAATCACCAACCGGTGGCACTCAATCATCAACCAGTGACACCCAATCATCAACCAGTGGCACCCAATCATCAACCAGTGACACCCAATCACCAACCGGTGGCACTCAATCATCAACCAGTGACACCCAATCATCAACCAGTGACACCCAATCATCAACCAGTGACACCCAATCATCAACCAGTGACACCCAATCACCAACCAGTGACACCCAATCATCAACCAGTGGCGCCCAATCATCAACTGGTGGCACCCAATCATCTACCAGTGACACCCAATCACCAACCGGTGGCACCCAATCATCAACCAGTGACACCCAATCACCAACCGGTGGCACTCAGTCATCAACCAGTGACACCCAATCATCAACCAGTGACACCCAATCATCAACCAGTGACACCCAATCATCAACCAGTGGCGCCCAATCAACCGGTGGCACCCAATCATCAACCAGTGACACCCAATCACCAACCGGTGGCACCCAATCATCAACCAGTGACACCCAATCACCAACCGGTGGCACCCAATCATCAACCAGTGACACCCAATCATCAACCAGTGACACCCAATCATCAACCAGTGACACCCAATCATCAACCAGTGGCGCCCAATCATCAACCAGTGACACCCAATCATCAACCAGTGACACCCAATCATCAACCAGTGACACCCAATCACCAATCGGTGGCACCCAATCATCAACTGGTGACACCCAATCATCAACCAGTGACACCCAATTACCAACCGGTGGCACTCAATCATCAACCAGTGACACCCAATCATCAACCAGTGGCGCCCAATCATCAACCAGTGGCACCCAATCATCAACCAGTGACACCCAATCATCAACCAGTGGCGCCCAATCATCAACCAGTGACACCCAATCATCAACCAGTGACACCCAATCATCAACCAGTGACACCCAATCACCAACCGGTGGCACTCAATCATCAACCAGTGGCACCCAATCATCAACCAGTGACACCCAATCATCAACCAGTGGCGCCCAATCATCAACCAGTGACACCCAATCACCAACCAGTGACACCCAATCACTAACCGGTGACACCCAATCACCAACCAGTGACACCCAATCACCAACCAGTGACACCCAATCACCAACCAGTGACACCCAATCATCAACCAGTGGCACCCAATCACCAACCAGTGACACCCAATCATCAACCAGTGGCGCCCAATCATCAACCGGTGGCACCCAATCATCAACCAGTGACACCCAATCATCAACCAGTGACACCCAATCATCAACCAGTGACACCCAATCATCAATCGATGATACCAAACCATCAACCAGAGATACCCTAGTTTGGTGGAGTACTCGCGGAAGAACCGGACGAACTGCCGGAAGAACCGAACTGGCGGAAGAACCGAACGAACTGGCCGAAAAATCTAGCGAATTTGCGGAAGATCCTGACGAACTGGACGCCGGGAATTTGAGGGACGTGGACCAGGACTTCGCTTATAAGGATGGAGAGTCCACTTCTGGGCTCGCAGAGCGCACAGGGGTGAAGCACACTTTTGTACTACGGGGCCGGACACTGGTACTTTAGAGGTTGGGAACATGTCACCCTGGTGGCATCCCTCAGTGTATGAGACTAGGTTACACCCTAGTGTACCATCCATACTATTGGAGGCTCAGTTGGTCAACAACAAAGTTATCAACCTACACGTTAGCTACAGTGTCCTCCACTCCAAATTCAGTTCGCTCTTTTGAATTGCCACAACATACACAATACGGGGTATTAAACCGCGTGAACCCAGGACACCCCCCCTAATCTATCACACAGAAAACGTGACTGCGAGTGTTACTTTTCATAGTACCCCCTTACTGTGTACGTTGGGGGATTATAGCATAGAAAATGCGGTGTATTGTTATTTGAGTGGACCTAAATAAATTTGCTTGCTAAAACACTTGCCCTCATCTCTAAAGGCTCTGCTGGCTTTCTTCAGCACTCTCTAAATCGCTACTCTTGAGGCTCTCCAACCTCTTACATTCCAACTACTGCAACTACAACAATCTATTAATAGTAGTAGTAGTAGTTGTAGCAAGCCTACATCAGTCTCAGGAGACTATGGAGTGGCCATTACTATTGGTACTATTAGTAGTATCAATAGTAATTACCATTAACAAGCAAAACCCCTCCTCTCTCCCACCTGAGCACTCTCCCATGCAGCTAGGGTGAGGTGAGAGAGAGAGAGGAGGGAATACACATACATTAATGCTCCCTTCACACACTTCCCACACGCTTATCAACACCATCATATGTATTTATTTAGTATTATGTAATACGTGACAATGTATATACAAAATAAAACATATATCACGTATATATATGTGTGTGTTTGGATTTCCTTATGATTGAACTGAGGTGGATAGAATCGTCATAGAAGTAATGATGAATGATATAAGATTTATAATTGGATACTTGAGAGTGATTTACAAGTTACGAGGAGGGGGACATAACATATAAATACCAACCTAGAACTGTGTAGCTCACAGCATGAGTAGAATTTATACTGGTGGATGACAGGAAGTCCCTAATTGGCTTGTTGGAGGTCCCCCTCCAACCCCAACCTCCCCCTCACCCAAGGACGAGGTTGTCAGCCTCCACCCTTAGTTTACCCTCAGGAATGTGGGCTGCCACACCGCCTGTGCTGACGCCTTTCTCACAGCTAATTTATCTGTGGTCAAATGGCTCTGGTGTTGGGTTTAAGACCTATCATCCTCTGGACTTTTTATTAAGGCCACTACGACGGCTTATACTGACCAACTAGCAAGTATATAATTTACTCCAAGACAAAATGTTAATTCATTTTTTGTATGTATATACACCGAGTGTATACACTCGGTGTATATATACAGTTACTGTATATATGTACTCATCTAATTGTGCTTGCTGGGGTTGGGCTCTGGCTCTTTGGTCCCGCCTCTCAACCGTCAATCAACAGTTGCACAGGTTCCTGAGCCTATTAGTATATATATGTGAGTGTATATACAGTTACTATATACATGTGAGTGTATATACGTGTGTATACTAAGTGTATAAGTGTACATACACCAAGAAGCTGGGTACACATCTCAGAGTATATTTTAGTTTCGTTACTAACATAACAATTTAAAACTTCTCTCAGACTTCAGTTTTAAATTATTACATTTTGTTTAATGAGAAACTTAAATATTTACTAAACTGTATAGTCTAGAGGTTTTTAGTAATAAATCCAATACAGTATAGCCACACTAAACCAGCCTTTTCTATAGTAACTGGGCGAAATAAATATACTTTACTCAAATCTCAATACGGTAAAAATTGGACATTTTGAGTAAAGTCATATTCCTATAAAAACGCGAAATCGGTTTGGTTGGCGCCGGGTTCCCGGGTTCGACTCCTCGGGCAAGGTGTTAAGAGTAAAGTGTTCCTTTCAAATGACGCTTCTCTTAAAACCTAACAGTAAATAGGCACCTGGGATCTAGACAACTATTGTGGGTCGCATCCTCGGGAAGGTCAATATAAGGACCTATATCAACGAAAGAAGCTATAAAAGTTATAAAAAGTTATAAAAGAGAAAGAGCTTATAGTGAAATTTAAAGAATATATATCAATCACTTGGGCGTCGAAACCACATTCATTTGCTGCTTCTTCCAATACCAATTAAATTATTATAAAATCATAAAACATCTTCCACGAGAACATGCAAATAATCTCAATTAACTTAAAATATCTTCACAACTACTATGTTATTTCCCCTATTATAAGCCACGTCCCGGCACATATGAACCTTATTTATGAAATATATTTTCTCTCATCAATACAATAAGAAAGAGACAAGTAAAACATTTGGAGAAAAGAACATGTATAATACAACTGGAGCAGAGGTTTAAGCAGGGCAATATTGGTTCAACCTTGAGAGCGTGGCCGAGACCAGAATAGCAATAGACATGTCACCAGAGGTGTAGACATGTCACCAGAGGTGTAGTCATGTTACCAGAGGTGTAGACATGTTACCAGAGGTGTAGTCATGTTACCAGAGGTGTAGACATGTCACCAGAGGTGTAGTCATGTTACCAGAGGTGTAGACATGTCACCAGAGGTGTAGTCATGTTACCAGAGGTGTAGTCATGTCACCAGAGGTGTAGTCATGTTACCAGAGGTGTAGTCATGTCACCAGAGGTGTAGACATGTTACCAGAGGTGTAGTCATGTTACCAGAGGTGTAGTCATGTCACCAGAGGTGTAGTCATGTTACCAGAGGTGTAGTCATGTCACCAGAGGTGTAGACATGTTACCAGAGGTGTAGTCATGTCACCAGAGGTGTAGTCATGTCACCAGAGGTGTAGTCATGTTACCAGAGGTGTAGACATGTTACCAGAGGTGTAGACATGTCACCAGAGGTGTAGACATGTTACCAGAGGTGTAGACATGTCACCAGAGGTGTAGTCATGTTACCAGAGGTGTAGACATGTTACCAGAGGTGTAGACATGTCACCAGAGGTGTAGACATGTCACCAGAGGTGTAGACATGTCACCAGAGGTGTAGACATGTCACCAGAGGTGTAGACATGTCACCAGAGGTGTAGACATGTCACCAGAGGTGTAGACATGTCACCAGAGGTGTAGACATGTCACCAGAGGGGGTAGACATGTCACCAGAGGTGTAGACATGTCACCAGAGGTGTAGACATGTTACCAGAGGTGTAGACATGTCACCAGAGGTGTAGTCATGTTACCAGAGGTGTAGACATGTCACCAGAGGTGGTAGACATGTCACCAGAGGCGGTAGACCTGTCACCAGAGGTGTAGACATGTCACCAGAGGTGTAGACATGTCACCAGAGGTGTAGACATGTCACCAGAGGGGGTAGACATGTCACCAGAGGTGGTAGACATGTCACCAGAGGGGTAGACATGTCACCAGAGGCGGTAGACCTGTCACCAGAGGTGTAGACATGTCACCAGAGGTGTAGACATGTCACCAGAGGGGGTAGACATGTCACCAGAGGTGTAGACATGTCACCAGAGGGGGTAGATATGTCACCAGAGGTGAAGACATGTCACCAGAGGGGTAGACATGTCACCAGAGGTGTAGACATGTCACCAGAGGGGTAGACATGTCACCAGAGGCGGTAGACCTGTCACCAGAGGTGTAGACATGTCACCAGAGGTGTAGACATGTCACCAGAGGGGGTAGACATGTCACCAGAGGTGTAGACATGTCACCAGAGGGGGTAGATATGTCACCAGAGGTGAAGACATGTCACCAGAGGTGAAGACATGTCACCAGAGGGGTAGACATGTCACCAGAGGTGTAGACATGTCACCAGAGGGGTAGACATGTCACCAGAGGTGTAGACATGTCACCAGAGGTGTAGACATGTCACCAGAGGTGTAGACATGTCACCAGAGGGGGTAGACATGTCACCAGAGGTGTAGACATGTCACCAGAGGGGGTAGACATGTCACCAGAGGTGTAGACATGTCACCAGAGGGGGTAGACATGTCACCAGAGGTGTAGACATGTCACCAGAGGGGGTAGACATGTCACCAGAGGGGGTAGACATGTCACCAGAGGTGTAGACATGTCACCAGAGGGGGTAGACATGTCACCATAGGTGTAGACATGTCACCAGAAGTCTTATTGGTCATATTTATCAATAACACAGAAGAGTTGTGTTACATCATTCATTCATTCTTCTAAATATTTACTGACGAAATACAACATTGAGGATAAATTCGGTGGAAAAACTGGAGTAAACTATAGGATCTTTGGACAAACTGAAACAATGTTCCAACAAGTGGCTACTAGAATTCAACTCAAGCAAGTGCAAGCTAGGCGCAGAGACGTAAAGACTGGGCTCAAAGTACCAAATATAAGAGGAAACCCTCCTGGAATCTAACAGTGAAAAAGACCCCAGGAGTTGGTACCACATTGAACTTGCCTCTCGAGAACCACATCAACCGGATATCATCAGCTGCATATGCAAGGTTGGCCAATATAAGAAGTGATTTTTATAAATCTGAATACGGAGTCATTCATTGACATTGTGTTCTATATATACCAAACGAATTGTGTAAATCTACAGCGCCAGGTTGGAGTTTCTATGTCTTGAAAATAAAAGAGCTGTCTACATGCTTCTAATACGCTTGGGAGCGTGTAGGCCAGTCGACTGAGGGCTAAGAGGCGGGACCAAAGAGCTATAGTTCATCCCTCGCAAGATGAACTTCGGGAGAACATCTTGTTGAATACATAAATACAAAGGCTAATAATAATTTACACATATATGCTTATATATGTGCATTTACACATATATGCTTATATATATGCATTTACACATATATGCTTTACACACACACACACACACACACACACACACACACACACACACACACACACACACACACACACACACACACACACACACACACACACACACACACACACACACACACACACACACACACACACACACACACACACACACACACACACACACACACACACACACACACACACACACTCACACACTCACTCACGTGAGTAGTAACTTTGAGAGCTGCTCCATTAGACCCCACATATCAGGAAACTTTACTCTGCCTCACCCACATTTCCACGTGTACGCTATCTTTCAAGCTCTACACTGTAATATCAGCCCCAACCTCACAACGTTTTATAGAGGGATAAACCAGAGCTCATAGACACCACACGAGAAAGAAGAAAACCTTTGATGACGTTTGGAACTTCCACCAAAACACAAATCCCATACAAATAGAGGTTCCAAAATGTGAAGCACCAGCCTAAATGGAATACAATGATTTACTACCATTAACCAATTTAAAATAAAAAGAGGCTAATTTGTATTTTAAATCAGTATGAATATATAAACTACTTTACATATATATTTTCCCATAGAGGTGTCGTACTAATTGAACTAGTTTGCTGTTACTATATAATTATCCTATTGAACGTGATTGGGGAACCTCAATCTGTATTACACTGTATTACACTAATACAATACACTGTATTACACTAATACAATACACTAATACAGAACCTCACTGTATTATCTTACCGAGGCACTTGCACTCAAGGAGTGACATTGAGAATTTGAATGTCAAGGAAGCTTGACACTTAGAGGTTAAACATAATGGCGAATAAGTGAGGTCCTGTTCTTGAAATATATTATTTTTTTCCTAGTGAGTTATCTTGGGTTTCTTCTTCTTTTTTATGATAAGTGCAGCTTGCGTGAAGGTCTTCTCCTCCCAGTGACTGTGCGAGCTGTCACTGGGAGTGACACATATACTTGTGTGTCACAAGTATATATATATGTGTCACTGAGTATATACAAGTACATACTGGCCCCAAGCTGACCCATCCATCGCCTGTCTTCACTGTTTAAATCACTAATTACTACAGTATATATGAGAATGAATACACTGATATTGCTTCCAAGGAACTATATATATATATATATATATATATATATATATATATATATATATATATATATATATATATATATATATATATATATCTACTGTCACTGACGGTTCACAGTCGTGTAACATGTGTCACTGTAGTGTGACCGTTGTGTCCCTGCTGTCGTGTCACCGTCGCGTCACAGTACACATCTTGTGTATATTGGGAGAGTGGAGTATAGCAGTCATGAATGGTTGTGACCATGTCCTTCAAGAACTGACCCGTCCGTGTGCTGCCTCCCCTCACTGTGGCCACCAGCCTGCATATTCGGTCTCCTACCCCTAATGTCCCACCCGCTGCATATTCGGTCTCCTACCCTTAATGTCCCACCCCCTTCATATTCGGTCTCCTACCCTTAATGTCCCACCCCCCTGCATATTCGGTCTCCTACCCCTAATGTCCCACCCGCTGCATATTCGGTCTCCTACCCTTAATGTCCCACCCCCTGCATATTCGGTCTCCTACCCCTAATGTCCCACCCGCTGCATATTCGGTCTCCTACCCTTAATGTCCCACCCCTTGCATATTCGGTCTCCTACCCTTAATGTCCCACCCCCTGCATATTCGGTCTCCTACCCCTAATGTCCCACCCGCTGCATATTCGGTCTCCTACCCTTAATGTCCCACCCCTTGCATATTCGGTCTCCTACCCTTAATGTCCCACCCCCTGCATATTCGGTCTCCTACCCCTAATGTCCCACCCGCTGCATATTCGGTCTCCTACCCTTAATGTCCCACCCCCTGCATATTCGGTCTCCTACCCCTAATGTCCCACCCGCTGCATATTCGGTCTCCTACCCTTAATGTCCCACCCCCTGCATATTCGGTCTCTTACCCTTAATGTCCCACCCGCTGCATATTCGGTCTCCTACCCCTAATGTCCCACCCGCTGCATATTCGGTCTCCTTCCCTTAATGTCCCACCCGCTGCATATTCGGTCTCCTTCCCTTAATGTCCCACCCGCTGCATATTCGGTCTCCTTCCCTTAATGTCCCACCCGCTGCATATTCGGTCTCCTACCCCCAATGTCCCACCCGCTGCATATTCGGTCTCCTACCCCTAATGTCCTACCCCCTGCATATTCGGTCTCCTACCCCCAATGTCCCACCCCCTGCATATTCGGTCTCCTACCCCTAATGTCCCACCCGCTGCATATTCGGTCTCCTACCCTTAATGTCCCACCCGCTGCATATTCGGTCTCCTACCGTTAATGTCCCACCCGCTGCATATTCGGTCTCCTTCCCTTAATGTCCCACCCGCTGCATATTCGGTCTCCTACCCACAATGTCCCACCCCCTGCATATTCGGTCTCCTACCCCTAATGTCCCACCCCCTGTATATTCGGTCTCCTTCCCCCAATGTCATTACTTTGCACTTGTTTGGATTACAATTCAGTAGCCATCTATCTGGCCAGCTCTGACATTTATCCAGCTCCGCCGTGAGCATTGCCTACAACATTAGCATCACGTAAGACCCGGCTCCCATCATATCATTGACGTACATCAGAAACAAGCGGTGACATTTATAGCACGCTCACAGTGAGCACAATATTCAAGAGCAACGCTGTATCCAACCCGTCCTCTTAAAAATAACGTCACTTTTCGCCCGTATGCGCACTATGGCCAAATTTGGACGTAATTTGAAATGAAATCGACTCACAAAAGTGACGTTCTGTTCCGTTTTCTATTTGAGTCGTCCGGCGTACGCGCAGAGGTTATGAGAGGACACTTTAAATTAACGTTTTTCATAACGTTTTGAAACTTTATGAGAATTTCCTGCCCACCTAACCTATCAGAGGACCCTTAACTTACTGTTGTTGAAAAAAAAATCCCAAATTTATTTTCATTTTTTTTTCATTTTCAAATTACGTCCAAATTCGGCCATACGGACAAACGGCCAAAAGCGACGTTCTTTTTAAGAGGACAGGTTTCCTTATATGTCTTCGATTAGTACTCTGTCAGCCTCTCAATGGCTTGCTAGCATGACCAGCGGCCTGTCGTGTGGCGGCGCTGTATGTGTAGTGCACACCTGCGCCAGGACAGTCGAGTCAACCTGGAAACCGCGCAGGTCGTGAGAACCGCGCGTGGCCTCCCTCTGGACGCTTGGTATATATATATATATATAACGCCTGTGAGGTGTCTGGCATCACACCTTCCCGCGACCAGCGACCATTACCACCCTCAGCGACGCCTCCAGGTAAGTCCCCCCCACCCGGCCTCAGACTCCTACAGGCCAGACATTACCGGAAAGTGGGATGTTGTTATTCTGGAATGCCAGAAGACGTCTGACAAGTGTGGTAATAGTGAAAGCGTAAATAATTACACGTTTGAACAATCGGGCAAGAAAGTGACAGAAAATCAGTGTAAATCCAGTACGAGTTCACTAAGATCTTGTGTCGAGCAAGACTCCGTTCTCACACTCTTCATCTCTCAGCTCTTTCTCTCGGTCTGCCACTTCGTAAACATTTTCTAGAGAGACGCGAAGGACTGTGCAAGGTGATCCCTAGTGCGAGGTACGGACGCCACACCTCCACGTGTACCCCCAGCACCTACAGGTGTGTGTCATCAGCAGAGGCTCTCCAACGCTCACCCACCTCAAGACAAACTGCAGGAAGAAAGACAGAGATCTTCAGGAGGTAACTTGGTCCTTTAGCAGGCGTGCAAGCCGCAAGCAGCAATAGTTCGAATGATCAAGCTTGGGGAAGCTCAGTTAGCGGCCTTAATTCCCCTCTGCATTAGTGCCAGAGTTATTCCCACCTTCTACGAAACGGTAATTAACAGGAGAAAGCCAGTAAGACTACGTAGAGGGGCCACGAGGACAAGGAGCTGGGATATGAGGACGGAGGGGGAAGGAACCGTGCCCAACCGCTTCGACCATCGGGGATCGAACATCCCACCCTGCAAGATGTAGTGCCATCGCTCTACTGACCAGTCCAAGTGCTGCGCCGTTCATCAATACATGAACCTCCACTGTCCTGTACATCAATGAGTGCACCTCCACTGCCCAGTACAACATGTGACCCACTACAGACCTGTACATCAATGAGTGAACCTCACACTGCCCAATACATCAACACATTATCCATCACTGCCTAGACCATCACTGCGAGAACCACCAGGGCCTAGTCTCATCTCGTGTAAGCAGTCTCACCACTGACTACACATCAATGTGACCAATCACTGCCCACTACATCAATACGTGATCCACTATCATGGCAGTTCATCAATACGTGACCCAATCAATACATGTTATGTACATAAGAAACAAGATAATGTGAATAATATCGATTAGTAAATATTTATTAGATCGACTAATGAAAATAATTCGATGTCAGTATTAGGCAGTGTTCGCTGGGAGTGTTCATAGATGCTTTGTACGTGCGTGCCCGTACGCACGTACCCCGTACCCCGCACGGGCATGAATAACCCGTGCCGGTATAATGTTCGTAGTTTCCACGAGACTTCTTCTACACATAATGGTTTGTCTAGTATCAAAAGGTGTTCGCTGGGAGTGTTTGTCTAGTATTAAGAAGTGTTCGCTGGGAGTGTTTGTCTAGTATTAAGAAGTGTTCGCTGGGAGTGTTTGTCTAGTATTAAGAAGTGTTCGCTGGGAGTGTTTGTCTAGTATTAAGAAGTGTTCGCTGGGAGTGTTTGTCTTGTATTAAGAAATGTTCGCTGGGAGTGTTTGTCTAGTATTAAGAAGTGTTCGCTGGGAGTGTTTGTCTAGTATTAAGAAGTGTTCGCTGGGCGTGTTTGCAGCCTCCACTAGATTACTCCCTCTTAGTTCCAGTCATAATCATACGCTGTCCCTTCATGTCATTTCCGTCCTCTATTTAACTACAGACAGGTACTCACATGTGTGATAATATGTTCTAAGATGTAATGGGTTAAGTAAGAGCTAAGGACGATCTGCTTTGATCCATTTTGACTCATAAATATATTGATGTTAAGGCAGCTACTGTCCTCATTGCTACCCGGTGAGTCACTACATCACTCTACAGTACCAGGTGAGTCACTACATCATCCTACAGTACCAGGTGAGTCACTACATCACTCTAGAGCACCAGGTGAGTCACTACATCACTCTAGAGCACCAGGTGAGTCACTACATCACTCTACAGTACCAGGTGAGTCACTACATCATCCTACAGTACCAGGTGAGTCACTACATCACTCTACAGTACCAGGTGAGTCACTACATCACTCTACAGTACCAGGTGAGTCACTACATCATCCTACAGTACCAGGTGAGTCACTACATCACTCTAGAGCACCAGGTGAGTCACTACATCACTCTACAGTACCAGGTGAGTCACTACATCACTCTAGAGCACCAGGTGAGTCACTACATCACTCTACAGTACCAGGTGAGTCACTACATCATCCTACAGTACCAGGTGAGTCACTACATCACTCTAGAGCACCAGGTGAGTCACTACATCACTCTAGAGCACCAGGTGAGTCACTACATCACTCTAGAGCACCAGATGAGTCACTACATCACTCTAGAGCACCAGGTGAGTCACTACATCACTCTAGAGCACCAAGTGAGTCACTACATCACTCTAGAGCACCAGGTGAGTCGCTACATCACTCTAGAGCACCAGGTGAGTCGCTACATCACTCTAGAGCACCAGGTGAGTCACTACATCACTCTAGAGCACCAGGTGAGTCACTACATCACTCTAGAGCACCAGGTGAGTCGCTACATCACTCTAGGGCACCAGGTGAGTCACTACATCACTCTAGAGCACCAGGTGAGTCACTACATCACTCTAGAGCACCAGGTGAGTCACTACATCACTCTAGGGCACCAGGTGAGTCGCTACATCACTCTAGAGCACCAGGTGAGTCACTACATCACTCTAGGGCACCAGGTGAGTCACTACATCACTCTAGAGCACCAGGTGAGTCACTACATCACTCTAGAGCACCAGGTGAGTCGCTACATCACTCTAGAGCACCAGGTGAGTCGCTACATCACTCTAGAGCACCAGGTGAGTCACTACATCACTCTAGGGCACCAGGTGAGTCACTACATCACTCTAGAGCACCAGGTGAGTCACTACATCACTCTAGAGCACCAGGTGAGTCACTACATCACTCTAGAGCACCAGGTGAGTCGCTACATCACTCTAGAGCACCAGGTGAGTCACTACATCACTCTAGGGCACCAGGTGAGTCGCTACATCACTCTAGAGCACCAGGTGAGTCACTACATCACTCTAGAGCACCAGGTGAGTCGCTACATCACTCTAGAGCACCAGGTGAGTCACTACATCACTCTACAGTACCAGGTGAGTCACTACATCATCCTACAGTACCAGGTGAGTCACTACATCACTCTACAGTACCAGGTGAGTCACTACATCACTCTAGAGCACCAGGTGAGTCACTACATCACTCTAGAGCACCAGGTGAGTCGCTACATCACTCTAGAGCACCAGGTGAGTCACTACATCACTCTAGGGCACCAGGTGAGTCACTACATCACTCTAGAGCACCAGGTGAGTCACTACATCACTCTAGAGCACCAGGTGAGTCACTACATCACTCTAGAGCACCAGGTGAGTCACTACATCACTCTAGAGCACCAGGTGAGTCACTACATCACTCTAGAGCACCAGGTGAGTCACTACATCACTCTAGAGCACCAGGTGAGTCACTACATCACTCTAGAGCACCAGGTGAGTCACTACATCACTCTACAGTACCAGGTGAGTCACTACATCATCCTACAGTACCAGGTGAGTCACTACATCACTCTAGAGCACCAGGTGAGTTACTACATCACTCTACAGTACCAGGTGAGTCACTACATCACTCTAGAGCACCAAGTGAGTCACTACATCACTCTAGAGCACCAGGTGAGTCACTACATCACTCTAGAGCACCAAGTGAGTCACTACATCACTCTAGAGCACCAGGTGAGTCACTACATCACTCTAGAGCACCAGGTGAGTCACTACATCACTCTAGAGCACCAGGTGAGTTACTACATCAACCTACAGTACCAGGTGAGTCACTATATCACTCTAGAGCACCAGGGGCCAGATTCACGAAAGCACTTACGTAAGTACTTACGAACGTGTACATCTTTCCTCAATCTTTGACGGCTTTGGTTACATTTATTAAACAGTTTACAAGCATGAAAACTTGCCAATCAACTGTTGTTATTGTTATAAACAGCCTCCTGGTGCTTCGGAGCTCATTAACGGTTTAATAATTGTAAACAAAACCGCCAAAGATTGAGAAAAGATGCACAGGTTCGTAAGTGCTTGCGTAACTGCTTCGTGAATCTCAGCGTACTGCTTCAAGGGTTTTCTCATACATATAATTCGCTTTGTCAGGGACAGGAAGCCTGCGTACATACCTCCCCCACAAGTTGAATAATTGACCCTCCAAAGGATGAAACCCCACAACACTTGTCTTAACTCTCAAGCACTAATTTTCTACCAGGTGAACATAGGGATTAGGTGAAAGGAAATGTACCCAATCATTTCAGACGTCCTGCCCAGGAATCGAACCTGAGTTTAATCAGTTGTGAGTCGACTGCGCTAACTACACTGTGCCACAGGTTGCAAAGTTTACTCCTGACAAGAGGCCATCACACTATTAAATGCGTCCTCAACACTGACAAGAAGCTGGATATTACAGTAACTACCCAACTTATCCTCCAATAATTATAGCAAGTAATTAGCCAAACCGTACACAAAGGGACTCTTAAGACCAACAAACGCTCACATTTTCCACTATTGTATTAGCCCCAAGTGGCGCGTTAAAGAAATTGACAGTAAGTGAAGTACATATCCTGGCCTGAGTAATTCTATGCCTATTACCAGTCTCTGTGGTGCAGTGGTAAGACACTCGCCTGGCGTTCCGCGAGCGCTTTGTCATGGGTTCGTATCCTGGCCGGGGAGGATTTACTCGGCGCAAATCCTTAACTGTAGTCTCAAATCCTTAGCTGTAAAATGGGTATTTGGTTGTAAAAATTATTCTTCGCGGCGGGGATCATATTCCAGGGACCTGCCCGAAACGCTACGCGTACTAGTGGCTGTACAAGAATGTAACAACTCTTGTATATATCTCAAAAAATATATATATACGCTATATCTACGGCCTAATCTTATTACTACATCTCTTGGGTATTTACCAATGTTTTATTTCTTCCAAATGAGAGTTTAGCATTTGTAAATACTCTTAATTACTGAGATCGCTAAACCAAAATGATTATCAAGAATATCTCGTCTGCATGTTTCAGTAGCTAGTGTGTGGACAGTCATGCCTGAACACATGCCTAATACCGCAATTAGCGAGGGTGTGCGCGCGCAGAGTCCTGACAGCATACCCTCTACGGTGGAGAGCCGCTCGCTGCCCTTCTGTCGGCATTAATTGTGGAGGTGGTGGAATGTGTGCATAGATGGGTGGCTTGTGGGCGTGAAGGGGCGAAGGCGGCGGCGTGTGGGCGTGGGAGGACGGCGTGTGGGCGTAGGAGGACGGCGTGTGGGCGTAGGAGGACGGCGTGTGGGCGTGGGAGGACGGCGGGTGGGCGTGGTTCACGGGGTTCCGGTTGCTCTCGCGAACAGGAGTGATTCTAGGAACACATGGCCCTGTCCTTCACACTCTGGGGAGCGTGGGTGTGTGTGTGTGTGTGTGTGTGAGCGGCCACACCTTGTCATTCTGCACAACACATCTCCGTGTCTCAGCACCTGTTGTCATCCTGGAAGGTCTCCTACCCCGTCTCTCACACTCCCTCCTCCTCCTCTCATGACAACGTCACAGAGAACTAGTCACCAAGGTGTAGAACAATGTAAACATTATGGCCCATCACCCTTGCCACCACATTAACTGTTATGACAGCAGCGCCGCCAGTTACCGACGGACCGAAACGTCGCTGTCCCTTCACCTAGTAGTGTGTGGTCTGGTCAACATACTTCAGCCACGTTATTGTGACTCATCGACCCCAGACCTGTTTCCTTATCATATTTTATAAAATGATGTATGGAATTCGCTTCACCTGCCCTTTTAGTTCATTTCATCTGCCCACTACTATGATGCTAAACGAAAACTTTCTAACATCTCCATGGCTCATCTGTTACTGAAGTTATATCCTTGCTCTCTTGTTCCATGGTATTTATTTTGTACATTTCCTCTTTTTTTTTTACCACTCTGTTGCTCCCCCTAAGTATGACCTAACCACTTGGGCTGGATGGTAGAGCGACGGTCGCGAATCATGCAGGTCGGCGTTCAATCCCCGACCGTCCAAATGGTTGAGCACCATTCATTTCCCCCCGTCCCATCCCAAATCCTTATCCTGACTGTTATGGCTTGGCGCTTTCTCCTGATAGTTCCCCCCCCTTCCCCCTAAGTATTTTATAAGTATCACGTCATGTTATTGCTACTTATCATTCCATAAGTCTCCTCGCACTCTCCTTTTCATCTAGTGATGTCAGGTCTAGTTCCTTCAGTCTTTCTTCATAACCCATCCCTCGCAAATTTGGAACAAGCTTCATTGCAGATCTAAATACCTTTCTATTTAGGTTTCTGAATGATGTTATGACTTTTGCTAGTGTAGAGTTTGCTGCTGATGTTATCCTATTATATTGTCCCTCTGAAGTTAGGTTATGTCGACTTTCAGCTCTTTTTTTCTGTAATTGTGTGTGTGTGTGTGTGTGTGTGTGTGTGTGTGTGTGTGTGTGTGTGTGTGTGTGTGTGTGTGTGTGTGTGTGTGTGTGTGTGTGTGTGTGTGTGTGTGTGAGGGAGGGGGGGGGCTGGCGTCGTGAGCCAAGGTCGTGGTGTTGCAGCAACTGAAGCGTCAGAGGGTAACCATTGTTAGAAATCAACGCGAGCAACGGCGCGCGACCGGAAATCAGCGGACAGTTAACGACAATGTCACACGAGGCGACGCAATGGACCCACCAGCCACCTGGGACGGGCTACGCACGACACAACGCCCGCGCATTACTCACGCACTCACTCACCACGCGCATTACTCACTTACCTGGCGTCACGCACGATAAATACAAATCATTCCAGGTGCGTGTGAAACCTGGGCGGCTTTGTCGGCTGGTGTGGAGGGCGCGGCAAGCGTCGCTACGAGCGAAAAGGCTGACAAGACGAGATAAATGTCCTAATGTGTGAGATCAGGACATTTGTGGAGGCGTTTGGGCCGTCCTGGAGCCCCTAAAGGTGTCCAGGCAACGGCCACGACTTCAGAGGGGGGGTCCAGGGCGGACACAAACATCGTCAGAAACATAAAAATAAAGGAAACCCGCAGAAGGTCTATCTATCTATAGACGGCAACTTCCCTATTAATTCCTAACCAAACTCATTACTATATATGTCTAACCTACGCTTGAAACAATGCAGTAATCCCTCGTATTTTATGTCACCAGGCAATTTGTTAAATAAATCACCATAAATCATGAGCATTATTTATCAAAGCAGTATTTACCCAGGTCTTTTAGCAGTATTTACCCAGGTCTTTTACGAATCTAATTTTCATCCATTGTTTCGTGTTATTTTGTGATGATAGATTGAACACTATTAGTATCTCCTTTGCTATACTCATTCACACATCA